TTTTTCGAAACAGGAAGAATATATATTTCACTCAAACCATGAAGTACAGATAGAACATACAGGCATGCACACAGGCACAAATCTTAACTAACCCAAGAGTAGCTAAGAGGAACCGGGGACATCCCCACAGAATAAACAACCTAAGAAAAAATAGAGTAGCAGGGAGAAATAACAAAGAAAAACAAGAAACTATACAACCCGAAAAAACGAAAAGCAACATGAACTAACGAACAAAGCAAAAGAAGGTATCTGCAGCCATGAATAGTAGGTGATTGCTCTGCCACTGAGCTCAGGAGCTCCTAGCTTAGTAACCACAATTAGCAGTCCTTCAAAACACCAAAAAAAACACAGAGAACAAGGTTAAGAGGCATTTAGGCTGGGATCTTCATACTCCATCCACTCCCTCCAGGCTTGGTTAGCAATGTCCCTTTCAGATTTCCAAATATTGTTGAATATCCAAAGGTTTTGACATTTCCACAAACGCCAAAGAATGTAGGAGGAATAATGGATCCTGTCATTGAAGCTTTTCACTCTTTTCATGTTGCATATGTCAGTCCACCAGATTTTGAATGTTATAGAAGGACTCCGAAAGCCTGCCCAGTCAATACCTGCTAGTTTCCAAACATTTATAGCTCTTGAACAGGAAAATAGGATATGCTCCAAGGTCTCGACAGCCGTGCCACAAACCTTGCAAATGGGGTCACTTTGGATTCCTTTGAGCGAAAGCTGGTCCTGAGAGCCGATATATTTAAACCAACATCTCCAAATGAAGTTCTTGATTTTGTTTTTAATCTTCATGTATGGACCATGTGACTTTCCATACCTTAGCTTCAGAGAGCTTTGTTTGACTAGATTCAGGAGCATTTGGAGAAAACCGCTTGCTCTTCAGAATGAGGGAATAAGCTGATTTTACTGTGAACTTCCCAGTCTTGTGTGGCCACCATTTCAGGCAGTCACTTTGTCCTGGTCTAGTAAGGGCAGTAGATAGAATGAGTTCGGCTTCTTGTGGATTAAAAGTTTGCTCAATCAGCTCTTTGTCCCATGTGGACCCATCAGGGCCATTAGATTGCACACCTTTTTCAGTGTCTGTCTGTCAGAGGGGAAAATAGGTATGGGGCAGAGGTTGGTAGTGCCAGCTAACCAAGGATCAGACCAGATAGAGGTGTTTTTGCCATCGTCTATTGACTGCAGGGTTCCTTTTTCGAGGTGGTGCCTACATTTCAGCCATGTGTTCCAAAGCCATGAATCTGTAGTCTTGTGCTGTTTAGATATAAGCGCTTTGAGTATCTTGCTCATGAGTAGGTTTGGGTGGCTAAAGAGGCTCTATAGCTGTATAGATATAAGCGCTTCATTAAATGAGACAAGGCATTTAAAGCCGAGGCCTCCTTTCTCTTTTGGCCTGGATAGTTTGTCCCAAGAAGCCCAGTGTAGCTTCTTTCCTCCATCAGCTTTTAGTCCCCGCCAGAATGAGGCTGAAATCCTGTCAATCTCCTTACAAATGCATAGGGGTAATTTGAAACAAGACATGGCAAAAGTTGGCAAGGCCCCTATGACGGTTCTTAAGAAAATCTCTTTGCCGGCTTCGCTTAGAAAAGTGTTTTTCCATGATGAAAGTCTACTAGCGACATTATTCACAACAAAACCGAAGGTATCTTTTTTTGAGGAGCCCAGACCTAGGGGTAGGCCTAGGTGTCTGGAAGATTGGACAGTAGAAATACCATTCAAAATCGAATTAATTTCTGCCCGAACAGAGACAGAGGTGTTCTTGGAGAAGTAGACGGATGATTTGGAGAGGTTTACTCTTTTCTCTGAGTCAGTGGCATAGATTTTCAAGATGTTTGAGATCAGGATAGCATGGAGAGAGTCGGCTTTACATAAAATGATGGAATCGTCGGCAAAAAAAAAGTGTGTCACTGATGGGGAGTGTTTGCTTAGCTTTATGCCTTGAAATGAGAGGGAGATGGATGCTTGTTTGATGAGATTGGAAAAATCTTCGGAGATTATTATGAACAAGTACGGGGAGAGGGGGTCACCCTGTCTCAGGCCTCTAGATGGTTTAAGATTACCAAGAGGTTGGCCATTTATGTTAAAAGCAAAGGATGCGGAAGTGACACATGCCATGATCCAAGAGATGAATTTGGTGCAAAACCCCATTTTTTTACAAGTAGCTTCTATGAATGGCCATTCAACATTGTCGAAAGCTTTCATCATGTCAAGTTTGAGAGCCATGAAGCATGAATTCCCTTTCCTTTTGGTTTTTAGGTAATGAATGCGTTCATTTGTGAGGACAAAATTATCAAAAAGTTGTCTTCCGGGGACAAAAGCGGCTTGATTTGGGCTAATGCATAGGTGGAGAATTGGTTTAATCCTGATAGCTAGGATTTTTGAGATAATGTTGGGAGTTATTCTTAAGAAGATAACAAATGTTTGAGTATTTAACCTAACAGGAAAAATATGCAAGTTATAACACTATTTAATTGGTAACAATTTGTGTTTTGACCAACTCTTATTATTTATATAGTATAAAATGTATTTAGGTTATTTTATGTAAAACATGTTGATGGACGGATCTGATCAACGGTTAAAATAAAGTATTTTGAGAGTGAACTAATAACAAAGAAATACTGCGAAAAAGGAAATTTATTACGTAATTACGAGGTATGCCTCTATAAACGAGGTTGGCATTTTTGTTACACTTGGAAATTTTATAAGAATTTGTTACATATTGTAGAGAGAGAAAAAGTAGTAGTTGTGAGATTTAACAACCCAAAATAAATGAGAGTGTCTTCTATTTATAGTAATCTTAAATTCGGCATTGTTCCTCCACTGTTCATGTTGTCTTATCGTACAGTGACTCTGAACGACAGTCCGGCGCTTTCCTGACAGATTGAGAGTGATTTGTGGGTTTTTCAATCATTACCTGATGAGCATTTAATGCATGCATGGGTTGCATTAAATGCTGACAGGCCTTTAGGCCGGGCTAGGTTTCATAGGGTTGCAGGCTAGATTGACACATCCCATCGGCAATTATTAGTTGACAAGTGGCATTATAATATTACTTTCCAGATCCTCGGTCCGTGTGCATGCCGACTTGATGGAAACCTCAGATCAGACTTCGGCTGCTAGTTGATCCCCCTGGCCTTCGGGATCTTATTTATCTATTTGGCACCTAACCAGATCGGCATCATACGATGTAGCAGATACCTACCTCGGATATGATGTAGCACACTGTCCTCATTGACTTTGGTCCTCGGTCAGTCGGCATTCCCGTGTTCGGTCGAAGATCGGCCCGAAAGGTTAGGTCGTCCTCATCCGGTTCCTTGCTTTTGAACCGGGACTCTCATATGTGTCCAACTCGGGTGTCAACAAAACACACTTTCATAATTGAGTAGCAACTTTAGTTATATTTATGGTAAGTATAACTAGATAATTGAACCTATGTTGTACAACATTTTAGATGCTGCTAATATTTTATATAGACATCTTTTACGATGTTTTTCAAACGTTAAATATCTCATAAGATATTTTCAACAAATGAACATATTATATTACATATTGACCCCATATTTTTTATTTGTAAATATTATTATCAATACACTTTTATACAGATTGATTTAATTTCGTATTTATGTAGCTATCATTTAATTTATGGTATATAATAATGACATATTATGTCGTCGGTCCAAATAAAATTAAATCGATTAATGATGTTGAATCCAACACATAAATAATACGACTTTACACTTTTCAAAACATGTTCATTATTTTTCACCTCATATCCAAATTACAAAATTTAGTGTGAATCTTAAATATCTCATATGTATTAAATTTATATATATATTTCTAAAAAGCATGACATTCCATATCATTAATTTTATCATATATCATGTGTTAAATGTTATTTTAAGGCGAATCTTATCTCATATTTATTAAATATATATTATTTTATAAAGCATGACGATTCATATAATTAATTTTATCATATATCATGTGTTAGATGTTATTGGTTTGGATACTCATTCTATTCAAGTAAATAACATATAATTTTTCATACTTTTTATTTCTTTTTTTGTAATAATGAGATGTTAATTATCAATAGATATGTTTAAAATAAATTTTTAAGAAGATTTTAAGTAGCAAGCTCATTTGTGTATCGGATGGAATGCACAATAATTATATATAGAGGGGATTATATAAAATTCAAAAGGTTTTGAAAATTAAAATAATGTATAACATTTGTAGGTATCATGTTACAAATTCAAATTTTTAATTAATATGTTACGAATGTGGTAGTTTTCAAATCTATCTATACCTAAGTAATCTACATTTATGGGGATTCATGATAAATATGGATTTGAAATTAAAATTATATGTGTCAAATGTGGAATAATTCAATTTCATTTTAATTTTTTTTTTCCAAATTTAGTAAATTTAAAATTTTTAGACGAAATATTTACTACTTTTTTTATCAATCGATAGGCTTTTTATGTATTAGTGGAAACTGTCTCTATTTTATTCAATGAGGTGATTATGTGATTGTAGACAAACCTAATTACTTAAAAAGTTCAGTTGGACACATGCCAAAACGAAGACGAAAAATTGAGAGCCTGCCAAAGGCAAATTATCTGTTTTGAGGAATGCGTAGTCGACCGGCACAGAGTATGAAATGAAATGAAATTAAGATTAAGACTGTCCAGATTTTATTACAATCAATTACAAGTTAACACTACTTATATTATCAAAAATTTGCAAAAAGTAAAAAACCAAAAAGTATGACAATTTTGAATATACATACTTATATTATCAAATATTATCGTTTATTTACGTGTCACAAAATTTTTAATGTGTAACAATAGCCTTGAATAATGAATATCAGTTCTCATATTTATATATATTGAAAAAGAGATGTCAATAAATCATTTGTGAAAACTTTTAAAAAATAATGAGTCAACCATGTTGACATACGAATTATAACAATCTTTTAAAAATGATTTGTGGTAATTTAAAATGTATAATAATTAATATAATAAGTTGCAAACATTTTTTAAGAACTCTAAACGCGGTTTAGACAGGATTTTTAATTTTGCACATGATTATGTTTGATTGAATTGATGTTTTTTAAAAGCGCAAATATTTGGCATTTCGTACATCAGCGAACCCAATCCATTGCATCCATCTTTAGCGTTGACTAATAATATCCTTGTCGAAGTATTTTGTAAGCTAACGCTCGTGCGCCGTTGTGATTTCCGCAAATGCCTTCATGAACTTCTTCAAGGACATACTTTGATTCCTGCTCGGTTATACATTTCAGTAAAGGAACAGAATATCCTCCTTTATAAAGGAGTTTGTTATCCAATGTAAACCGAGCTGCTCGAATTCGAAGAGATCGAGCTTCTTTTGGGTCTTGCGGTAAGGCTCCTGTCTTTAGATATGTAATAACTGGTGTCATCGAGGTCGGATTTTTCTGTAACTCGGTATTCATGACTTCATTAACCGAAGTGGACAGTAACTCCTGGTGACCGACTTGGATATACTCCACGTCCTCGATTCCAGTACTTGATGCGAGTTTGGATAGCGCGTCGGCGGGGATGTTTTGAGCACGAGGAATGTGTTCTAACTGCACATCAATCTTAGACATCCTCTGTTTTGCAAGTGTCAAGTATGGTATTAACCGAAGTTCTTTCACTTCAAATTCTCCAAGGACTTGGTTCACCAATAATTGGGAGTCGAAGAATACCTTGAGTTTATTGACATTCATGGATTCCGCAAGGCTTAATCCAGAAAGTAGGGCTTCGTACTCGGCTTCATTATTTGTAACCGGAAAAAAGAACTTTACAGAGTGACAGAACATCCTGTTGTGAGGATCAATTAGGACAATTCCTCCGCCAGCTCGGTGTTGAGTTAATGAGCCGTCGACATACAAAGTCCATGACTGATCTTCATTGACTGCTTCAATCTTGGGGGTGAACTCGGTAATGAAGTCAGACAAGACTTGAGCTTTAATAGCAGTCCTCGGTTTGTAATGAATGTCGTATTGACCGAGTTCAATTGCCCATTTGACTAATCTTCCCGACGTGTCAGGTCGATGAAGTATTGACCTCAAAGGATAAGAGGTAAGTACTGTTATTGAATGCTCTTGGAAATAAGGACGTAACTTTCGAGCCGCTGTAATGAGAGCATAAGCTAATTTTTCCATAGGTGGATATCGTAGCTCAGCTTCGTGTAGTGCTTTACTGATGTAATAGATTGGATATTGTTGAAGTCCCTCTTCTCGGATAAGGACAACACTGATAGCAGCTTCACTTACTCCCAGGTACAGGTACAACATTTCTTCGGGTTAAAAGAAGACATTTTGAACTGTTTTGAGTGAGAGTTTGTTTTATAAATCTGTCACATTCTTAAAATCGATTTTTCTTAATATTTTTGATGTGTTTTGAACGCCATTTTTAACGCTATTTTGTTTAATAATTTAATATGTTTTCGATGGTATTTTGTTTAAAAAATTTGCATGCATTTTTATAAATATGTGTTCACATCTTTTAGTTTTTTTCTAACAATTATGTTTCAAAATCAAGGTTCTCAGCATTCAGAAAACATCATTTTTTTTCAAACAATGCCGAAATATTATAGCAATCTACAATAAATTAGCGTTGACATCCACGAAAGAAATGATTTTTATAATAATATATACGATGTTGTTTAATAAAACTGACGCGATTTCGTTACGCAATTTTTTAACGCTATTTTATTCAACCAATTCTTAATATTATAGTAAAATAGTATGATATGCCTCCCAGATTCAGAAAAATAATTTATTTACAAACATGCAATATGTTTTAAAAAATATAAATAGATATAAAAAAAATTGAATTGACCTAATAAACATTAAATATCGCTTCTTCAATAGGCCATTATTCAAACAGNCCGAAACGATAGGAGATATTATAAATCAAAATGCACAAAAGTGCGAATAAACAGCAGCCAACGGCTGAATACACAGCAGCCAACAGCTGAAAAGAGTGGGAGGACAGGTCAGAAGACCGCCTAGAGACCCGCTAGCAACGCTAGAATAAAAAAACTCACAACACACTAACCTACAACAAACTATAACACACAAATAAAACTAAAACAAACTAAAAAGACCCCAACAGGGTAATACTCGAGTGTCGGATCCCAAAGGGATAATAAGGTGACACTCAGGTTCACAGAGGCCAAAGGCCCAGACCAAAGAAACATAGAAAAACACTAATAACTGAAAAACAAACCAATACTAAAATCAAAAACAGAAAACACAGACTCCCCCGTCCGATACATCTAGATAACAGGCAGACAACCAAACTCCACAGACAAACTCCAAAGCACGGGAAAAACCGCCCGCCACTGCATAAGGCCTAGCAAGACGGAACCCGCACCCCAGGTCTAACCGAAGAGCTGACCCGCACTCCAATCACGAAAGGCAGCAATTACACCCCAACCCAGCCCAAGACGCCAGAACATATCAAATGGCCAACCGAAAACAGCAAACCACCCCCAGCAGAAGCCATAGCCGCCAACCGAGAACCCCCAACACCAACTCGCCGAGAAGCCATCCGGCCACGGACACGAAAGAGAAACCGAGACAGAGCAACAAAACGAGACTATACCTGCAATTGACCCAGCTTAGAGCCAAAACATGAGGAAGCCTCAGACGCTCGTTGCTTCGCCGGCGTAAAGGCACCGTCCCGACCGGCAACGAGAAGGGCGAAAGGGGGAGAAGCATCCCAGCGATCAGGCCGAAATCGAGATTAGCTAACCTTGCCTCGTCCATGGACTAGCACCACATCCCGACCACCATCGTTCAGCCCTGAGCTCCGGCGACCAACAAGGAAAGAGAACTTACCCGCTGGCCGAGGTGCGAAGCCGGAAGAGAAGCGACAAAGATGGGAGAAGGCCGCACCTCCATGGACGAGCGACGGAGGTCTTCCACCTCTAGACCCAGATGACCGACGAGGGAGAGAGACCGGCGCAAATTTAGGAGGAGAGCTGCTAGGGTTTCAGTTGGGGGCGAGAGGAAAGGGGAAAAATTTTTTGTATAAATATCGCTTCTTCAATAGGCCATTATTCAAACAGGATAATTATAACTAACAAAATATTTTCGAAATCAATAGGGATTCTTAGGACCTACTATTAGGGTATTTACCATGATTTCAAATACCTGTTTTTCGACTATTGTTATGCAAAAGCAAATAAGAGATAAGATTTTTGGGATTGTAAGAATCCCAAATACCAAAAATTTACAACATTTATTTATTTATTTATTTATTTGGAATATATCCAAATCTTCTTGAATCGTAGAAATGAATATGCATTTGAATTAAATCCCAACACTCGAATCGGATTTCAATAAGAAAATTTGGATTTGAATAACATTGCGACATTTATTTGACTCTTAGAAGTTAGAATCCAAGCTATCAAAAATTCTCTTATTACTTTATCCATAAAGTTTGTTAGGATTCTCAAATCTCACCAATATATTTTGATTAAACATTCGAAATCAAAAAAATAACCGTACTAACAAAAATAAAATGCATAAATAACAATGGGATTTTCAATAGAAAATAATATAGTCGGATATATATAGATGGTAAATTTAAGAAAGAATTAACACTTTTTTAAATTTGAATAATTCAAAAATTTGTATGATTTATAGAATACCAAATATTCTATTAATTAATTAAAAAAACACGTGTAAATAGAGATGTCTTAATAAAAAATTTGAAAATTCAATCAAATGAATTTGGTTTTAAGTTAGATCCTAATATTTTGGTGATTCTAAAAAATTCATACCATTCAAAAATACCAATATTAGTATAGTATAGATATATACAAATTGGATTGCATATTTGGCTTTGCATACAATATCACACTTTTCAAATGGTATATCCTACATAAAGATCTATAGATATATGGCGTATTGTTGGTATGGTTTATAAAAAATCGGTGTTTAGTCACAGTCAACTATATGTGGATATTTTCCGCGTTTGAAAATATTAGAACGTGGTGATCATGATCTGCCAAAAAAACCAAACAAAAAACATTGTGTAAAAGGTGTTTAATAATATATAAATTATTTTGTTTTCAGTTGTATTTTCAAACATGTATACGGTCATGTGTTTGTGTGTTATTATAATTATATATGTGTTATGTTATTAACATATATCTCATCTAATTATCTAAATAACAGTAACCACTGAATATTGCTTCCCGTACATAGCGCGCTAGTTGTATGAAAGGCCGAAAAAAGAAATTTGTCATATGATGACCAGATGTCCAGAACAAACTGAAATCGCCCAAGATATTCCATCATCCAATGGTATTGCCAAGGGTGCTGTTCCAAGTACTTATATTTGTTTTTTTCCTCAATTACCAATTTTCTTACAGCCGCCTGCTTCAAATTAAATTGTAGCAATTAATTGGGTCTGAATTATTATTATTTGATGTGATTTTTTTTTTATTTTTTTTTTTGTGTGTGTGTGTGTGTCCCCTTTTATTAATTCTAATTGAAATGGAAATAAAATTGTACTTGACAAATAAATGCTGGATACAATTTACCAATTGCAAAATTTAATCCAATACGCGTACTATTCTAGAGTCGGCAACAAATTAAAGTCAATTTCTTTAAAGTTTATTTAGAGGGTTATTTGTTTTTTTTTTTTTAAAGTCAATTTCTTTAAAGTCAATATGCTGGATACTATTTGGTTTTCTTTAAAGTTTATCCAATACGCGTGCATAGTTTGAACCAAAGGCCTAGTATCGGTCCTCATGAGCCATGTTGCCTGCCTTAAATTATCCTGGTTGAAAGAAAGAAGATTAGCACCACCCCTACTACAAAAATTGTGGCTCTGCTTAACTCCTGCCTTAAATTATCCGATAGGGTCCTTAATTTTTTTATTTTTTTATTTTTTTGAAAAAAAAAAAACGATCTCTGTTGAAAAAGTGATTGATTTTTTATTTTTTTTGTAAAAGAATGAATTATTATTGACATAATAAATAGATTTATAATAAATCAATAAAACAGTAAAATATAAAAGTGAATGAATGACAAATTTTATTGGAAGATATGTGCAGTAATTTGAACTATAATGATAAAATTTAGAATAAAAATAATAGAAACAGACAAGAAAATGATAAAATTCCAATGGAGAATTCCAACGAAAATATATTCCAATACAATTCCAACGGCAATTTCAATGCATATTCCATTGCTGTTATTTCTGTTGAAATTTTTCAATGGATTCCAATGGAAATCGCAACAAAAATATTCCGTTGAATGAGTTTTCTATTGAAATTTCCGTTTGATTTTGACGATTCCAACGGTAGATTTTCCAATTGGGGTGAAAATAAATATTCTAGCGAAAATTTCATATTCTAACAAAAATTCCTACGGTAAAAAATCATTTGAAAAATAGTCGTTGGAATAATCAAATTCCATCTAATATTCCAATGGAAAACACATTCTAACGGAATTTTTCGTTGGAATTTTTGTTGAAATCATTCCAGCGGAAGCTATATGATTGGAATATCCGCTAGAATTCCAATTGGGATATATTACCATAGAATTTTCTGTCAGAATATTATAACTTTTGTGTAGTGTGATGAATTGTAACATTTGGAAAAAAATATTTCCAAATATAGTTGTGATGAAAAAAATTATTCAGGACGAACACCACAAGAAAATGATGAAATTGCAAAGGAAATATAATTCAATGGAATTATAACTAAAATTTCAATTGTTGAAATATGGATGGAAATAAAAAAAATACAATGGAAATTGCATATTTCATGTTAGAATATCACTTGTGAGTTGTTCCACATCGTTCATACATAGAAAATAGACCACTTTATAAGTCTAATGGGCCTCTCCTCCTTCCACCAATTGGTTTTGGGATGGAACCCACTTGGGCTTCATATGGGCTTTCCCTACTTATGGTGCGCTTCACGTGCGTGAGACCGCACCCATTTTCCCCTCGTTTCTTACATGGTATCAAAGCCAGGTTTTATTGGCGATCTTGCGATGACGTACCCGTCACCCAGTCCAGTTGGGTTTGGGCGTGTTAGAATATCACTTGTGAGTTGTCCCACATCGTTCATACATGGAAAATAGACTAACTTTATAAGTCTAATGGGCCTCTCCTCCTTCCACCAATTGGTTTTAGGATGGAATCCAACTTGGGCTTCATCAACTATAAAAAACTGTCATAAAATAGTCGTTAAAATCATCAAATTCCATCTAAAATTTCAATGGAAAACTCATTCCAACAGAATATCTTCGTTGAAATTTCTGTTATAATCATTCCAAACAGAAGTTATACCATAAGAGTTTACATTAAAATATATTACCGTAGGATCTCCATTGGAATATGACAATTTTTTGTAGTTGAAAAGAAACTAAAAATAATTTGGCCCTAATATTCTACCTTTAATAACATTTTCATAATCTCCATAATATTTTCATTTCATCATCTGATATGCAAGTCTACACAAAGTGTTACTATCTCCCTACCTTTCCTACATAACTCATTTCCTATCACCAAGTAGTCATAGATGAACCTTCCTAAAACCTACACGACATGACAATTAAACCATAAACCTCATTCCTCAACTTATACACACATTTCTATATATAACTACACAAAACATGTTCATTAACCATAGCATGCACAAGCCCCTCAATTCACCTAAACCCCAAACCTTCCTTCATTCTCCGAGCCCGGCCGCTTGTCGAGCAATTGCCACAAGGTGCTCATCCGTATTCATTTTCTCTCGACGAAATCCCATGTCAACCGCTAAAAAACCCGTGCTCCAACGTCGCGACTTATCCTCCGCAGCAAAAGCTGTGTCGGTTCCTGCCGCCAGTGAAAATACAACAAGCGTGAAAGCTGTCGTGACCGTGCTACAGACGGTGGGGGGAATACTTAGCCGTGGGCTAGATGATATCACCGACTTGCTCGGTAAAACCCTCCTAGTCGAGCTTGTGGCGGCCGAGCTCGATCCTAGTAAGCCTATAGAATTGTTTTAATTATTAAAATATGATGTAGTGAAATTTTTAGGTAATTTGTATATATTCACTAGTATATTTCTAAATCATTGCTTTGTTTGGAAGCACCAATAGTGTAATTAATTATCATTATTTTAAAATCATCATAACGATAGTGAATGAAATTAAGTGTCAAAGTTCACTCCATCTCAAATAATATTTTCACTATACTCTCATAAAATACAAATAAAATAATGAAGCGAAAGTTCAACCAAAGCCTTGTTGGTCACGTATTCTTACATTGCTTCACATTTTCTTTTCTCCTTTTCTTAATGGTTATCAATTCTTCACGTGTACGGATTAATTGTGTCGAAGTCACATAAATATGGAGCTGGAGGTTGAAGGACTACTTTCAAAGTTCACGCTTTTTTCTCAACTCATCATAAATGTTAAGAAGAGGGACTGTGTCATATTTATAGTAATAATATTTTCTCGAGTGCATATATATGATATAAAAATATTCTATGGAGTCATCGGATGATTTTCTTATGGAGTCATCCATCAATTAATGTATTGACACCTCCAAAGTGTATTTATTACAGAATATGTGTCAATACACTATATTAAAATATATAATTGTTTGATTTTTTCGTTAAATAATATCTTACAATTTAACATGTTCAAATCAAATAAAAATTCAAATTATCTTATATCGTATGAACCTTTCCATCAGTCTTATCGAGGGACATGCTAGCTAATGGTAAAGAAAGACATTTTTTCTAAACAAATATATATTTTTATAATGAAATGTTACCCTTTAATTATAAAAAAAAATAAATAAAAAATAATGAATATTCAATAAAAAGAAAAATAAATTTATAAACAGGTGGTCCCGATTTTATTTTCTAAAAAACTAGCACCACATATTTAATTTAACACATGGTCACAATATTGATTTAAAAAGTCAACAACATTTTTTTTTCTTTTTCCAAATATTGATATGTCTTCTTTTATACATTTCAATTTGAGGAAGTTTTGTTGCTTGTTTGATATTCAAATTTATTATGACACCACTAACACGTATACGTTATGTACACGTACGTAACGTTTCCAAATCAAGATGTTTTCAAAGTTTTTTTTTAATTATTATTATTTTTTTTAAGATGTTTTCAAAGTTGAACTGAATAAGTTGAACCAGATCCATTCCGATCGACTTCAAATTTATCTTATCGTTTATGTTAATATACATAGTACTCCTACACCATAATAATAATAATAATAATAATAATAATGAAGACATATTACTAGTCTACGTTATATATTGTGAAGCGTATTTTGTCAAATTATTTATTATTAAATTTAAAATTCATTAAATTTGTCACTTTTTTTTATATAATATATTAAATTAATCACAAGGTAACAAACTAATAATATCTACCCCTATACATGCATAATGTCTATACAAACTAATATCTACCCCTATACGTGCATAATGTCTATATTATTGGTCAAAGTATGAGATATAGTTTTATTTATTAGTTAATGTCACAACTTAGTCAAAAGTAAATTAACATAAATACGGAGTACCTTAAGTAACTTGCCTCTGCACTTTTATAAATAATTCCCCCCTATTCGTCAACACTCTTCAATTTTTTCGATTATCATTATTTTTTTTTTCGAAAAAAAAAAAAAAGATATACTCTTCAGATGAGTTGCAATTTATTTAATTATAATTGTAAAATACTCTTCATAAATTAAGAAAACGTATGGTGTTCCCTTCTAAGGGTCATGATTAAATTTTGACAAAAGAAAATACTTTGCAAATTAATTTACATATGGCAGCTTTCTTTATTACAATATAGTTGTGAAACTTTACAAATTATTAATTTATGTATAGTAATACTTCTGATATTATAAAACATTTAGATATTTATGTAACACTATCATTATCATCAACACGACTGTTGAATAAGTACCAAAAAAATCGTTCTCATTTATTTATGATTTTTTCTTGTAGAATCTGGATTGGAGAAACCAACCATCAATTCATATTCGCATAAGGTTGACGACAATGACAATGAGTCGTATTACGAAGCCAAAATCGAAATTCCTGAGGATTTTGGAGAAATTGGTGCTGTAATTATAGAAAATGAGCACAAAAAAGAAATGTTCATAAAAGACATCTTATTAGAAGGTTTATCATCAAGTGGCTCAATCACAGTGACCTGCAATTCATGGGTTCAACCAAGCAATGAAAACCTGGAAAAAAGAGTATTTTTCAGTAACAAGGTTAGCATGACATCTTCTCTATTACTCATATACTTTTGAGATACCCTTTTTACATCCCATATGCACTCTAGAATTTTGTTTTGCCACTAACATAATACATATGGAATATTATATCATATGTAAACAAAATGTAAATAAAACTTGTATTAGTTGGCACAGTGATTGACTTGAGTATTAATTTATGTGAATGACAATCACTCCAATGAGAATTTTATTAAAAATAAATTTACATAAATTCTTGTATGTGACGATTAACAATCACCATACTCTATAATTATAAATTATATTGTGTAATAGAAAATGGGTTAATATGCACCATTAACAATCACCATACTTTATAATTATAAATTATAAATTGTTGTTTCTCTTAATTTTTCAGTGTGTTTCAACTTGTGTAGTTCCACATTCAGTTAAAAATTACATTTATTTCTTCCAATTCTATCTATCCAGTCAGTTTTCCTTAAAGAATAACAAATTTTAACATTTTTCTTATATAATCATTTTAATCTTGATTTTTTTTCTTTTTCTTGGTGAATTGAAGATAATTAATGATAAATTAAATTAAATAAATTGAAATATATTTTAATAGTAATATATCAATAGGTATGAAAATACATTTCAAAAATTTCGGATGGTTTTATTTTAAATATATAAAGGAAACAATGTCCAATAATATAAAATTAAATGTATACATATATTAATTAGTATATGTAGAAAACAATTGAGAAAATAGTTTATAAAAAATATAATAGATAAATCATATTTTGTGTTAAAGATCATATTATATATTATTTGTAAGATTTATGGCATTTCATACCCATTAAATAAGTTAATTATATTCCATTTAAATATAATTTTGATATAAAATATGACATTCATGGAATTTATATGTTAATAATATATGATTTTTTTTTTTTTTAAACAAATAAGTCTTACCTGCCGTCCCAAACTCCGAGTGGGCTGAAAAGATACAGAGAGAAAGAGCTCATCATCTTACGAGGCGACGGCCAAGGCGAGCGCCAGACCTCCGACAGGATTTACGACTACGATGTCTACAACGATCTCGGAGATCCCGACGCCGATGATGACCTGGCACGCCCCGTCCTCGGCGGCCCCGACCATCCTTACCCTCGCCGCATCAGAACTGGCCGCCCAAGAACCGAGAAAGGTGATAATTATACATGTGTGTGTGTGTGCGCGCGTGTGTGCGTGGGTGCAGACACTTTTAATTGTGCTCAGAAACTGTTTGTCAAAATGCTGAGCTGACGATCCTTCTTGTTCTTGACATGATCTTGTCACAATGTGTTGTGCATTTGCTCAAATTTTGCGTGAATCACGATGCTGTAATATAGAGTAACACAAAGGATGACATAGACTTTAATTAACATAATAAGTTTCGGTCTCGATATTTTATGTGTGACATCACTTTTAGAATCAGAACATCCACTTCAGCTTTTATCATACTTTGTCAACTAATTATGTTAAAGTAGCTTTATTCAAATTTTTTCTGTAGATACAAAGATGCTTTTTGATTCATGTATAGTAGAATGCCCATTTTCTTTTATTTTACCTAAGATTGGAGTACATGGATGGAACAAGTATGAGTGGAAAAATGATAAATTCTTGTGTGTGATATGATATGATAGGAAGATATGAATTTTTGGTGATGCTAATGATATAAAAGTTTATATTAAATTGGCGATAACATAAAAAATGGGGTTATTAAAACGGGATAGAGAAAGTGTATTCATCGGTATAAAAACATGAATGAGTCATCCTTGAAATCACGTAGGAAGTGTGTAAATAAGGTTTCCTTAATTTTTTGGACATTACACAAACGTCTAATTCGGAAAAATAATGAGACTGAATGTGTTGTGCGTGTTCTCGAAATTTCTGTAGCTAATCACCTTATGGGATTAGAAGGTTATCTAGAGCAAAGGAACTATTTTTTTTTCCCTACATGTCGACTAATGTCTAGATTAATCTGAATTTTAGATCCACTATCCGAGTCAAGGAGCTCCGACTTGTACGTGCCTAGAGACGAAGCTTTTTCCGAAGTAAAGCAGGAAACATTCTCAGCCAAAACCCTGTCTTCCGTGCTCCGTGTGCTCGTCCCATCAGTTAGGACTTCCATCATAGACAGTAACCTTGGATTCCCACACTTCACCGCCATAGACACTTTATTCAATGAAGGTTTCTTGCTTCCGGATATTCCAACTACAGGGCTTCTGGGGAATGCCATACCCAGGCTTGTAAGGTTTGTCAGGAACACCAAAAATAGCGTCCTGCAGTTTGAGACGCCTCAGTTGATCGACAGTAAATCCACAAACTCTACCTCTTTTAATTTTATTTTTGTTTGTATCATTTGTTTATAGTTATCTGTGTGATAATTTAGTTGTAGATGTTGCATGGGGACATGTGCGGCTTGGTAATGTGCTGCTTTCTGTTATTATTGCAGGAGATAGGTTCGCTTGGTTCAGGGATGCTGAATTCGCAAGACAAACTCTAGCGGGTGTCAATCCATTGTCCATCAAGTTAGTCACGGTATGATTTTATCTCAAAGACCAATTATCAAGTGCTTTTCGAATTAAGAGTCATCGTGAGTTCTTGTCGATGTTCATTTTGGTTATCTTCTTCACTTCCTTTATCATCAACACAACATCACATGCTTAATGTGTATAGTTTTCCATTTTTGAAATAAAGAAATCCCCCAGTATCCTTCTAAATAAACATAACTCGTTGATAATAGTTTGTATTTCATGAATTTCGCTCTCAGGAGGAGAATATTGATTATGAAAATGGAAATGTTAATGGGATGCCTGTTATTATGCTTATAAGGGTATTCATATATATATATATATATATATATATATATAAATAAATATATTTGTGACGTATTCTGTAATTTGGTCATACTCTGAAGTAGTTTTTGTCCTTATTCCCACTAAATATTTTAAATTTAAGACAAAAGGACATGTCGCAGGCGCCTAAGGGTAAATTTCTCAAATTTTTTTACAGGATTGGCCACTGAAAAGTGATCTGGACCCTGAGATTTATGGGCCTTCTGAGTCGGCGATCACAACAGAGTTGGTAGAGAAAGAAATCGGAGGCTACATGACAGTGGATGAGGTAAACCTTAATGAGAAGCTAGACATGATTACATGAAACATGTTCATGATCTAATCCCTTTTCCTTTTTTGTTTAAATTTCCTTAGGCATTGAAGCAGAAGAAGCTGTTCATTTTAGATTACCATGACATTTTCTTGCCTTACGTGAATAAGGTAAGGAAACTCAATGGGACCACCTTTTATGGGTCGAGGACATTATTTTTCTTGATGCCTGCTGGAACATTGAGGCCCCTGGCTATTGAGCTAACAAGACCGCCTATAGACGGGAAGCCCCAGTGGAAAGAGGTCTATCAGCCATGTTGGAGCCCAACTGATATCTGGTTGTGGAGGTTGGCTAAGGCTCATGTCCTGGCTCACGACTCTGGTTATCATGAGTTAGTTAGTCACTGGTGAGTTCTATTTTTCTTATATTCTCATTTTTTTTCCTCTCTTTGAGAAATTTATGAAGAAATGTAGATTGGTTTACATCTGGAGCTTTTGTTTAAAATTGTAAGGGGATGCTGTTTTCTGGTTTTCATAGAAATGATTTTGTGGCTTTGGTGCGGAAATAGTTGAGAATCACAGATTGGCAGTGTTTGTGATAGAAGCTGAGAAATAATTGACAGGGAGAAGAGAAGTTATTAAAAAAAAAAAAGAAAAAAAGGCTTTATTTCGTTGTTTGTGGGTACATGTAACATTAACAGCTTGATTAGAATTATAACGCGCCCCTCCCATTGGTTGTTTTCGGAATAAGGGAAGCAGGATTAGAAGGTGAAATTGACATTTTGAAATCCCTTTAATGTGATTTTATTCAATCTGAAAAGACAAGAATCATTTTCATTTTATCTATTTATATATACTTTATCATTTGTGTGTTTGTGTGATTGCAGACTCCCTAAGGCCAAAGGACAGAAGTAGTTAAACTTGAATCACTTGCTTGAGTATTCTCCAAAAAGTTTGCTGCAAATCTATGATTATTTGTTTAGTTAACATTAAAAATGCCAATATAAAAGACGGCCATCGGATTGTTCCTCAGATTATCCATAGAGTCACAAAAACTCATGAGCTCAAGCTTGTGGAAACACACACAATTATTATGTTTTTTTTTTTTTTTTTTNTTTTTTGTTCGACGATTGTGATCTCCATTATGTATTTGCAGGCTACAGACTCATTGTTGCGCAGAGCCTTACGTAATCGCGACAAATAGGCAACTGAGTGCAGTGCACCCGATTTACAGATTATTGGATCCTCATTTACGGTACACAATGGAGATTAATGCTCTGGCACGTGGGGCCCTTATCAATGGTGATGGTATCATCGAGTCCTCATTCTCCCCGGGTAAGTACTCCATGGAGTTGAGCTCTGTTGCCTATGACAAGCTATGGCAGTTTGACCTACAAGCACTACCGGCAGATTTAATCAACAGGTAAAAACACTAACTTGAAAACCCTTAAAATAGTTAGTCATCCTTTAAATCCTTAAGAGATGGAAAACCCTAATGAAAACCTCAATGAACTATAAAACTGATGAAGCACCCTTATAAATTGGTAAGAACCGAAAACGTTACACTTGGGCTTTTAGATCTGTCAGAGTATAAAACTAATGAAACACCCTTAAAACTTTGCCTAGCTACAAAATTTCAATCTAACATGTTGCGGTACATCCATTGAGGTTTATATCTGCCTTACAAGTATCCCTCAATAAACATTACTCTATTTTTTTCTTTCAATTGCGATGTATCTCCAGGGGAATGGCCGTGGAGGATCCAAATGCACCTCACGGCCTAAAGCTAACAATCGAAGACTACCCTTTCGCAAACGATGGTCTGCTCATATGGGACGCCATCAAACAGTGGGTCACGGATTACGTCACGCACTACTACCCTGAACCGTACCTCATCCAATCAGACAACGAGCTTCAGTCATGGTGGACAGAGATCCGAACAGTGGGCCACGCGGACAAAAAAGACGAACCCTGGTGGCCCGAGTTAAAAACTCCACAGGACCTGATCAAGATCATCACAAACATCATATGGGTGGCCTCAGCCCACCATGCAGCCGTCAACTTTGGCCAATTTGATTACGGAGGCTACTTTCCCAACAGGCCCACCATAGCTCGGATCCAAATGCCCACTGAGGACCCAATAGAGGAAGAACAGAAGCAGTTTCTCGAGAGGCCTGAGGAGTTTCTCTTGAGGTGCTTTCCTTCGCAAATTCAGGCGACAATTGTTATGGCTGTTTTGGATATTTTGTCAAGTCATTCGCCCGATGAGGAGTATATTGGGGAGAAAATGCAGCCGTTTTGGGCTGAGGATAAAGTGATAGTTGCTGCTTTTGAGAGGTTTAATGGGCGGCTGAAGGAGATTGAGGGGATTATCGATGGTAGAAATGCGGATACAAGCCTGAAGAATCGGACAGGAGCTGGCGTGGTGCCGTACGAGCTTCTGAAGCCATTCTCGGAACCTGGAGTGACGAGTAAAGGTGTGCCGAATAGCATCTCGATTTGAATTTATGACATGTTATTATTGTGCATTTAAGTTGCTGTGTGGAGTTGAAATATGAACAAGGTGTTCTATATCTTGCATTTGGAGTTATTGGGTTTGATAATAAAGTTTCATTATGTATGCATCAGCAAGAGTATTAAATTTCAGTCCATCATACATAACATAGCTTCTTTTTTTATTTTTTTATTATTTTTTTAATATAAGTTTTACTGCAACAACATACCTAGTATATTCTCAACAAGTTGGGGTCTGGGGGGTCAGTGGTACGCAGACCTTACCCTTGTAATTATACAAGGAGACTGTTTCCGTAGCGACCCAAGGTGCATTGCGCCGCTTGATATATATTTTTTTTTTCTAGAAACTTCACTAATAGAAGAAGCACTAGAATTTAATTGAGCCATTTTGATTTAGTCCATTATTAGCACTATGCCAGGAGAATTGTCAACAATGACTCTTCCAGCTCCATTTGCAATGGACAGGGTCGGCCTTTTTCGATCTCTTCCTTTTGGTTCGAGTCTTTTTGTGTTTCTCTTGGGTTTCATCTCTAGCCTACCCCGACTTGCTTGGGACTAAAGGCTATGTTGTTGTATAAGTTTTACTGCAGCAAAAAAATCTTGGACCATCTGGCTGAGAGCTTTGGGCATCTCCTTAATATATCTTTGTAGTCGATAACACGAGAAGAAGTCAATTTTCACCTGGTGCAGTAAAAAAATTTTTTTTACTGCTGCAAAAAATACTCTTAAGTCGATAACACAAGAGGAGAGGTCAATTTTCTCCATTTAGTCACAATTTCACCTGGTGCAACAGATCCCGCTAGTCAAAGACTGGTGAAATGATGAATTGGGTATCAAAAATGAAATGAGGGGATAAGTAGGGTATCAAACCAGCATTTTTCCCTAAATAAAATTATGGTCCTCAAGTAAGCAGGGTAACAGGAGTGTTTACACACTGGGAAAAAGAAATCAAGATAACCAAAAAACAGTTTCCCACTTAGGTGAAAAATTACGCTGTTTCATGATAGTATGTTTCCTGTTTGCTGCAAACAGATCTAAAATTCTTAATTTTTCAGACCTTCAGTTTTCCAAGTATGAAACCTTAATCGTTGAGGACAAAATCAGGTAGCATTAAATATTTTTTTTAATAGCTATTACCGAGAACCTAATTGATGATACAGAATGAGAAAGAATTTTGAAACTCTTCCACATGATCATAAAACTCTTCCACATGACCATAAATGGATTCATAAAAAATATGAGCTAGTTAAAATGGAAAGCTTGGGACATGTAATATTGATACATAAGGAAAGGATCACACTTCACAAGTTTGTTTGATTAATATACTTCCACAGAACCAGAGATCATTCAGAATTTAGAAGTAACAACCAAAACTTCTCTAAAGAACAACAAAAGTCCTATTTTTTCACGGTTTATTTTTAATCTTTAGCGATTTTCTCCGTTTGCACTTTTCATCTTTGTTTAACACACAGTCTAGTCCCTATCTTACACATTGAGTCTCGTCCCCGTGAAGCAATAGCATTTAGGTTTGACTTATACAAGGTCATCAAAAGTCAGACCTTTCACCAATAGTCTCCACAGGAACATTCACCACCAGAAAACCTGTGAAAACGATTAATGTCTCTAAGTATAATTTCTCTTTGAAAAATTGCCGAAGCAAACTTCATAACGACATGGCAATCGCCACATGTTCGAAGATTCTTTTTTATCCGAATGGGTGCCCCCGTAGGCAGTATCAGCAATCCATATGCAAGTGCTAACTTTTCGCTGTGGTACCACAGGCTTCGCTCCTTGTACACTCCCACATCGTTGATTGCATACTGAATTTCAGGAACATATCCTTTCTGCTTCACGAGCTCCTCCAGTTTTCCCAGCATCTCATATATCTCTTTCGTCATAAAATGAGTTCTATCATGAGCTTTAAAAACGTGGGTCGTGTTCCTAAAGTCGAGCCAACTCAAGCCAGGCTCCTTTTTCACTCTATTAAACCCCATCAATCTCCGCACCTCATTAGCTTCTTCTAATCGCCCCCCATGAGCATACATGTTGTGTAGCAAAACGTAATTTCCAGGATTATTGGGTTCCATTTCGAAAAGCTTTTCTGCAACCTCTCGACCCAAATCAAGATCTCCATGTTTTCTGCAAGCCCCAAGCAAAGCCCCCCAAATAGACACGTCGGGTTTAATCGGCATATCATCCACAAATCTCTTGGCATCATGCAAACGGCCTACACGACCAAGCAAGTCAACCATGCAAGCATAGTGTTCAAGACCCGGTCTCATGTTATACTTCCCACTCATCAAATAGAAGTAGGAAAAGCCATTGTCTACTTTCCCAGTATGCCCACAAGCCGACAAAACAGAGACGAAAGTAATGTAGTCGGGCTCAAAACCTGCTTCTACCATATTATTAAATAATTCTATAACCTGATTTGCACAGCCATGCTGTTGATATGCCGAAAGCATGGCTGTCCATGATATCACGTTATGTACTTTAGTCTCATCAAATGCCTGTCTAGCGTCTGCTAAGCTCCCACATTTTGAATACATAGCAATCAATGAGCTAGCGACACAAGTGTTTCCTACGAATCCTGTTTTTATTATCTGATTATGGACTAAAGAGCCCTGATCCAGTGCAGCGATGCCCGCAGCAGCATTGAGCGCAGTCGAGAATGAAGTCTCGTCAGGCAACACGCCTTCACGTCTCATGAACCAGAAATAATTGCAGGCATCCTCAAAATAACCATTTTGGACAAATCCCATCACCATAACATTCCACGTCACCGCATCTCGATCTTCTGTAGTCCTGAACAATTTCTCGGCATCATGGAAACCGCCACTTTTAGAGTACATGTCCATTAGAGAATTCTTCACGTAAGCCAAGTATTCCAGGCCATGCTTAAAGACCATTCCATGGACTTGCTTCCCCACGATCGCCTCAGACATGTTGGCACAGGCGCTCAAAACGCTCGAGAAACTCACTTGATCGGGTCTCACTGCATCCTCGGCCACCAACCTGGAGAAGAAAGAAATTGCCTCAGGAAAACATCCGTTTTGGAAAAAACCCACGATAACGGAATTCCAAGACACGAGGTTTCTCTCGGGCATTTCATCAAACACCTTCCCCGCACGGCCCATGTCGCCAGATTTTGCATACATATCCACCAATGCGCTTCCCACAAACACGTCCCACTCAAACCCGTGCTTGAATACCAACGAGTGCATCTGTGCACCCTCAGCCACACGTCCGCAAGCCGGCAAGACAGCGGAAAACGTGAAATGGTTGGGGAAAATATCCCTCGACCTCATCTCGTTGAAAAAGGCAAGAGCTTTGGAGTGCAGATTGGAGCGGGAAAGGTGGGTGATGAGGGATGTGTAGCTGAAGATGTTCTTGGTGTGGGTTTTGGAATCTGAGGCTGAAAAGAGGGCGAGAGATCGAGAAACGTGGCCGCACCTGGAGTAGAGGTTGAGAAGGTTGTTGAAGAGAATAGGGGCAGAGAGGTAATTACGGGCGACGAGCTGGGCATGGATTTGGGCAGCATGCTTCAGGTTTCTGGAGCAGTTGAGAAGTGTACTGAATCGAGCTGGAGATATGTAGGACGACGATGGCTTTGCGCGGTGCTCTTGAGTGAGAGATGGTGGCGATGGCGATTTCATAAAGAAACGCAAACAGAGTTAATGAAGAAAATAGAACACTTAAAAACAACTTACAAGTTACAACGACTATAAAGTCACTAACTTGTATTATAGGAAAAAATCAATGCCTCAGGAACTACAGAGCTCTGAATTCTGATTGTCAATTGGGAATTATGTTTAATTTCACGTGAGATGGACATTCAATAAATGTATACTATGTGAAAAGAGTTTGGATTAGTAAACTAAATACCAAGGTTGTCAGAACCGGACCGGTCATCGAACCGGTTAGGCTACTGGTTCAATGGTTCAATGGTCGGACCAGTGGTCGAACCGGTTTAATTAATATATAATTATTTTATTTATTTTATATATATAATGTATAGTTGTATATATTTTTATCATTAATTTTATGATATATAATGACATTTTTATAAATAAGAGTTCAATAATTAATATCATATTTATATTTTATCATAAAAAATACTAATTTCAACACAACTTACAACTACAAGTTAGTAATTTGTATTTTGTATTTCTAAATCGAATTTTAATTATTATTTTTTTATCTTTATTATGTAAAGAATAAAAAGTTAAAAATCAATTTTAAGCTTTGATTGTGATTAAAATTTAAAATTGGTACACATGTATGTTGGAATGGTGCATAATAATCATACAAAGACAATAATGAAAAAAAAAAAATAGAATGGTGCATAAGTCATACAAAGATAAAAATAGAAAAATAATGGAATAAATGACTCCAAGTGCAAGGTTTGAACTACTAACCTGATACATGCAAAGCACAACTCCTACCACTATGCTACAGGATAGTTGTTGCTTTTAAGTAGAGATTATTTTATTTTGTATATAAAGTGCACAAGTGAGTTACTTAACCCACATTGGAAACACACCAATAAACAATTAGCTATTTAAACAACAACCATTGCAACTCATATTGAAGTCCCGAGCAAGAGCCGCTGACCCGCGTGAGCTGTCGCCGGTTCTCCGGTTCGACCGGTTTGACCAGTTCGTAACCGATTTTCTACCCAGACGATTATATTCCTCAAACTGGACCGCTATGCCAACCGGTTGCCGGTTCAACCGGCCGGTCCGGTCCGGTTCTGACAACTATGCTAAATACTTTAATAGATAATTTGAGTCCCCGCCACAATTTCAAGTTGGAGTAGGGATGGAAACAAATTGAGATAATTTGAGTCCCCGCCACAATTTCAAGTTGGAGTAGGGATGGAAACATCAAGTTGGAGTAGGGATGGAAACAAATTGAGATAATTTGAGTCCCCGCCACAATTTCAAGTTGGAGTAGGGATGGAAACAAATTGAGCAGCTCACGCTTGGATCGAGCTTGAGTTTGATCGAACACAAGTTGACTTCGAACAACTCAAACTAAAACTCTGAGCTTGAGTTTGATCGAACACAAGTTGACTTCGAACAACTCAAACTAAAACTCGTTATAAGCTCGAGTATAAGTGTAATTTACCTAAATACTCTAAACTGAAACAAATTCCTAGTCAAACTTAGACTTAACTCGAGCCAAGAAAAAATCTTATTTGAATAAAGAACTTCTATTGAAAATTTAAGCCAAACTCCATTGAAATTCGAGCTAACAAAATTTAAGTTGATCTAGAGCCAATCTCGACCCGATGTATATGTTTTACGAGTCAAGCTGAACCTTGAAAAGTCTAACTTGTTGAGCTCAACCAGCAGTGAAAAAACTTGAGCTTGGTTCGATAAGGTAATGATTGACTCGGCTCAACTAGCTTGCACCCTAGGTTGGAGGAAGGATTAGTTAACTTACAACTTCTCTGGGGTTTTTCGACAGTTACCCCAAACCTGGAGAAATTATTAGTTAACTTTCAACTTCTCTGGGGTTATTCGGCAGTTACCCCAAACCTCAAATGTCGTCTAGCTTTCAAGGTATCCCTTATGCTCTTTGTCCAGAATTTCACATCAACAATCATTTTCGGAGACAAAATGCAAATGCAGCTAACTATCCAGTTCCTTAAAATTTTCATGTAGAGCATGTTACTAAATGTACCCAAGTACGAGTTCTTCCATGGCATTAAAGCACATGTACGATCGAGGCAGTCAGAGAACTAGTAAATGAATCCCGAGGTCACAAACTTGCTATAAGACAAAGTTACACACCAGTATTTTTCACCATATATAATTATATCACCCAGAGTTGAGGAAAAAAGCCCGACACAAGTCCAAAAATGAATTTCTATAGTTTATATTTATCACACTCTTCACATAAATATCGCCTCACTCCCTAAACTGAACTAGACCCAGGCTTCTTAACGACCTTTTTATCCTTCATCACCTTCCTCACATCCTCTACAGCTCCCCACTCACCCTCGGCAGCATATATATTCGCAAGCGTCACGAAACTTTCCGGCCTCTTCACGTCAATCCCCACACGTTGATCGCAAATCTTCTTAGCAAGATCCCTCCTTCCGTGAACCTTACAACCATTTAGAAAGGCTCCAATAGTCGAATTTGTGATTTCCTCCCCAATTTGATTAATAACCCCATAAGCCTCATCCATCCTCCCATAGCGGCACAAAAGGTCGACTAAACATGAGTAATGCTCGCTATTTGCTCTCACACAACATGAGTCCATGGATTTGAATATTTCCAAACCTTTCTCGACTAACCCACCATGGCCACAAGCTGAGAGAACAGAGGTGAAAGTGACTTCATTCGGTTGCACTTTGTCGTTCAACATGTTTTCGAAAAGCTTGATAGCAGAACCTACCAGCCCATGTTTCCCATAACATCCAATCATAACATTGTACAACGCCATACTTTTTTTACGAATGGAGTTAAAAATACACTGCGCCCCTTTGATGTTACCACATTTTGAATACATATCAATAAGAGCACTAGCAACAAAGACATTCATGTCGAGCTCCATCCTGTATAAAAACCCGTGAATTTCTTTCCCTACACGAATAGAAGCAATCATCCCACATGCAGGGAGCACGACAGATAGAGTCACTTGATTAGGCTTGATACCAGAAATCAACATATCTCGAAAAAATGTTAGAGCCTCAAAGGCCCTTTGGCTTTGAACGAAACCTGAAATCATTGCATTCCAGGTAGCTGTGTCGGGGACTAATCCTTCCTCACCCATTAGAGAAAAATATCTAAAAGCACCATCACAGTCTCCGTTCTTCGCGAGGCCCGCTATAATCGCATTCCATGTGAATTCATTAGGTTTATCATTTCCTTCCAATCTCATTCTTTCTAGCAGGAAAACCGACTCGTCAATTTTTCCAACATCAGCGTACCCAGAAATCATTATTGTCCATGATGCAACATCTCTTTCAGTCATTATATCAAACAGTTGGCGTGCGTTGCGCACATCTGAACACTTTGCGTACATATCAATCAAAGCATTGCAAACATGTAGATCATTTAGCAAACCCATTTTGTAAATCAAGCCATGAACTAGCTTCCCCAAGTACACATCCAGCAAACAAACACAACATTTCAAGATTGCGTAGAACGTGTGCTTATTTGGCGAGCTGTTGTTGTTTCTTGATTCCAGGAACAGCGAGAAGAAACGAAAAGCTTCGACGTGAAGTCCCAATCGAGTTGATTCATGAATCATCCAATTGAAAGCGAAAACATTAGGATCTTTTGTTTCTTGGAAGAGTAATTTGGATGAAACCAAATCACCGCAACAGGCGTAGGCGCCGATTAGCTTCGAACTCAGGGAGAAGACGTTCATGTGTATGTGATTGGTGAGCATGAACGCGTGGATTTGCTTGCAGGGTTTCAGCGCTTTCGGCTTCATGCATCTTTGCAGTAATTTGCTGCAATGGCGCGCAATTGAAATGGGCTGTGAAAGCGACGGTGTTTTCATGTCCTCTGTTTTAGTTCCATTGCAACTTTCTGGCACCAACAACAAAATGAGGAAAACGACTAGCGGTTGCTCCTGGATATTGATATTGAGCTTTTCTGAAATTTTGTTTCGTCTCATAAAAGTGATGACAAGGTAGTAATTTTATTTTTTATTTTTGGACTGAGAATGATTTTTCTTAGATTGTTCATAAATAAGATAAGATGAAAAATGGTTTTTTAGATTGTTGATTCGGACGGTGTTTTCCAGGGTGACTCGTCTATGGAATCTTGATTGCCAGTTATGTTATCTGGTTGTTCATAACTTCATATAGTTCACTGAAGTAGGTACTTTTCCAGTGCTACTCGGTCCAATTCATAACCTTTAAACATCAGTCATTAAAGTGCTAAATAAATCATTGGCTCCTCTTTGAAACAGAGCTATATGTTGTAAGTTGTAAGAGCTTCAATGTTGTAGTAATCAACAAGAATCAGAGGGTTGCTGCATGCATATAAGTTACAAACAACGATATTCAGTTGCTTGGATTCATTTCCATCGTGGCTGAATTTTGGCACATCAAACCATAAATGACACCAATAAACATACAAAGACAGAATTTTGAAAATTTCATTACTACAAGTCTACACAACAAAAACATTATTGCATCACTCATCAGATTCAAAACAAAAGCACAGTTACGAAATCAATCCAACTAATTTACCGAACCCTTTCTAACTTTGAGAAACGCAACAGACCCCAATCCCGTGTCAAGCTTCCCATTCGACAAAGGCATCCGCTTTTTCCAGCAGCCCAGGCTCCTGAAAATAGCAGCCCCACAAAACTCATCCCTCATACAAGCTTCCCTGCACTCACCCACCGTGCTCGGAACTATCTGTTCATAGTCGTTTTTCGGCCAGTCCACATCCGGAATCTCCACCAGCTCGTAATCATCATCAGTACAACTATTCCCCGAAAATTCCTGCTTGCAACCTCCACAACGGTTATTCGGGTCGACTAACGTGAAGCCTCTCGGGCATCGGCAAACGGGCCTCCAATTCTCGAGACTACACACGCTGTTATACCCGCACGGCCCACTACCCGTATCCCCACCAATATCAATACATATGTTATGATCTGGCAAGCTACCCACATAGACCCACTCAGATTTGTTTCCAAATTTTCTAGGATGATAATAGAGTGCGAAAACGCCGTCGAAATCGAGCACAGCCCTGAAATAGTATTCAGAAGTGAGAAGATTCGGGCCGGGTATAATAACATTACTATTTATGGAAAGCGAACTCCCGTCGAGCGCCAGACGGTCGCCTGAGATCGGTTCGCTATTATAGTACTCGGCGTCGAAATCTGAATTCGTGAACACGCTTTTCGTTTTGAGTGCGAAATTGCCGTCGGCGTTCATTGCGGCGTAGAATCTCCCGTACGAAAAATCGGATTCTGATTTTCGAGAAACGAGCGAGCTGGCGTTGATCACGATCGACTGGGTCGGGAGCAGTGTGTCGGCTGGATTCGTGAAGCTTTCCCAGAGAGGGGTATTTGTGTCATTTCCCCACACGACGAAATTTCCGGCGTCTGTCATGGAGGCGTAAGCCGGTCGCCCGGCGAGATTTTTGGTGTAGTGATGGAGTGGCTTGCCTTGATGATCAAGTAGCACGAGGCCGTTGATGGCATCGAGGGTTAGGGTGGCGCCATGTGGCGCCAGGTGTCGATCGAACCAAGCTATGGTTCGGTCGAGGAGTTTGGCGAACCATATTGAGAGCACGAAGAGATCGGTTTTGTTGCCGGGGAGTTGTTGGAAGCCGAAGGCGAAGTCTCCGGAAGGCGAAAGCCATGGCTTGGAGTTTTGGTCTGCAGTGATTGAGGATCCAATGGATATGGTGTGTGTGTTTTGAGATGAAACTGAAGATGAAGAGAGGAAGAGTGTTGACGTTAGAATGAGGATGAGGAAATGAGCCATTAATTTGTAGTGATCTGGAAATGCAAATTCAAGGTCTTTTAGCAGTGGAAATTAGAAAGGGGAATAATATTAGTTTGGGATTTTGGTGATTATGAAGAGAGTGAAAGCTAATTTAAACAAGTCGCTGTAATTCTGGATGATTAATAGACAAAAATTACTACACAATTCATAAAATTTACTATTTTTAAACTCACACATTACTATAAATTATTGTTCTGTTTTTTTTTTTTTTTGTCTGTAATCACAATAATTAATTTAATGCAGTTGTAGCTTTCTCTCCTCCATTCTAGTATCTATACTTATATAAAAAGTTATCCTATTTACTAGAATTAGTAGGAAGAAAAATCAACTCATAATTAATTGCACACTATATTTATACAATTTTAGATATTTTAAATCATAAAATAGGGTACCATTGAATGCCCCTAAAATTATGGGTTTTATTGAATTCATTTTTGAAAATTTCGACAGATATTGAAGTGATTATGAAATTCAAATCTCTTCTCATTTTATTTTTAATAAAATATACATCCAAATTTACGTGTGGTTTTGGATTGAAAATTTGAAATTCAAAATCTCTTCTGATTTTAGTTACAAGAAAATCAGGCTGCATTCAACACTTTGACCAAATTAAAAATCATTCATTAAATGAAAGAATTTATAGATAATTATTATATCTACTCAATCACATGATTATTTTCAATATAAAAAGAGACAGATTACAAATTAGTGAATCATATATTACCTAATTTAATATCTTAACATTAAAGAATAAATCCATAATATTATGTAAATTCGTATCTCATATTATTATATCATTAAGAATATATTATAGTTATATTATCAAATCATAAAAAGATATTAAATCTATATTGTAATAAAAAATAATTCATATAATTTTATAACAGTTCCACTACACTATTTAATAGTATTCCTTTTTATTATAAAATAAAATAATAATTAAATATTATATAGTGAACAACAATAAGTAAAACTGCTGCTTTTTCTTATATCAAGAGATAAATTTATATGCTAAAATTAAATTTTTATTAGTATAAATGTTTTAATGAGATAATATATTAATTATTTTACAAGCTAGTCCTAACATGCTCTTATCTAATATTCTGGCTAAAAAAACAACGCTGGTTAAAAAGATGTTGAAAAAAAAATTATAATAACCTTATTATTTTTTAGACTTAACGTTAATTAAAAAAGATAGAAAATAAATAATAATTCGATTATTTTTTAGATTTAAATAAAAAATGGTTGAAAATAACTCATTTAATACTAGGTTGAACAAGTATTAACGTGACTTGTTTAGGATAACCCAAGACTTTTCTCGATATATATTCGATGCAATTTTTTTGTCATTTTCCCTCCAATCAATGCTTTAGAAAAGTTGGAACGCGCTACAATTATTTGCTTTACGGCGTGTTTGGGACATGGACCGAGAAATGAAGACAACGAGCGGAAATATGATATGTCCAACGGATATTTTGTCCTGATAAGATAATTAAAATGTATATGAGATAATTGTAGCTAGGACGCATCAGTAAAACACGAGGAAATTAAACACACTCGGTCATACTAAGATTTGGCAAAATCTTATTTACGACCAACACACGAAGTGATAGAATCACGAATTTCTATTTATTATTATTATGATTATTATAATTATTGTTACTATGGACCGTAATTATTGAGATTAGGTATGGATTCTAGATGTTTTTTTTTTTATTTGAATTGGCTTTAAAGGGAGGGAAAATTCTTGTCTCATTTACTTTGTTTGATAGAACTAAACAAAATAATCTAACTACTTTACACGTCAGCAAATTGTCCAACATTTATTTCATGAGATAAAAAATAAGATAAAAATGGCATTATAAAAAATGGGATAAAAAAATCCGGCCTCCCCCCAGGATTTATTTTATCGGCGAATGAAGGATACATTGTGGGACCCGCATGCCACATGGGTGCCAATTAGAAAGAGTATTATCCCAATCATTTAAAGTAAACAGATGATATCGGGTGACAAATTTAGTTATCCAATCTTGTCCAGAGAAGTAAACGACCCCTAGTATCTTATTACTCTTCTTCTATTGCATATAACCTCCATCTAACTTTCTTTTAGAGTTACTTACCCGTTGGTGCTACTAAGTGTCGGTATTTGAATTTGGGCTGAATTAGCTAATGCAAAACTCCGATCGTGTGGAAATAACTAATTACCTACAAAACAATAGTCGGAAGAAGCTCCCAGCATGAGCACTTCGATGCTCAAGTCAGTGATTGAAAAGGAGAAGAAGATACTGAATGTATCTTGAGAATTATGAAAGTTTAGAGAGTGTTTTAATTGTACTCATCCTCTTTTATAAAGGGAATCTTCTGGTGCCCAAGATTTAGCTGCCCCGGTCAATTTGTCCGGAGTTGCCTACTGCCCGAGGTTAATCATTATTACTTTGTGTTCATCCTTATCTTAATCTCATCCTTATCTTAATTAGATTTATTCTTATCCTTATTAGGTCCACATCAACTTAGGTCCCTTAGTGCTCACAGGCCCTCCAATTTAGCTTAACATACCAAGTGTCGATAGGTCGCGACAACTTATGTCGTCATGATCAGTGTTGATAGGTTTCGGGTATCCACGCCAAGTGTTTTCTACCTGGCTTCATCTCCTCTCAGTCAGGTGACTCGTCTAATTCCTAAGTAGGTCGACCTGTTTTACTTAGTGTTGATCCAGTTTAACAGCTAGGGCTATATCATCTAGTTCTCTTAATTGCAAACTTAAAAAAACATTCTTTGCTTAAAAAACTGCGCCCTCAATTCTCGCCCTTGTTCTGGACCACCGATTTGAGCATTGATACGAGGTCTGAATTTATTAGGTCAAGTATAAATACCCTTCTCCTATTCAGAAAAACATTTTTGCTTCCTCAAGAATTTTGCTCTCTGAACATACCTGCAAAAAATATAAACAAAATCAAAACATCACAATTGTGGCTAGATAAACGTTATGTAAATAAAAACGGAACATATATTAAAAATATACTGACTATAAAATCAACATATATTAACATTATTCTAATGGTTGTCTTGCACAAGATTTTGATGCTCGTCATTAAGCCTTGCCCTCGTTTTCTTATAATTGTCGACTTGGTCGATTTTTTCACTCATTTTTATTCTTTTTTATTTTGTAGTTGGATGATTACTTTCAAGGACATCTTTTATTTTGTAGTTGGATGATTACTTTCAAGGACATCTCCGTGAATTTCTATCTCGTCCATGTGAAATTCTTCTTCTACAGTAGAAAAAAAAATGTAAGTATGTATAACGTTTTTTTGCATTTTGAAGAGCGCTTTATAATATGTTTTACATATCAACGTTGTATAAATCGTTGGTATAAACTTAAGTATAAAATATAAAAAAAATCCATACATCATAATTGTGGGTAGATAAATGTTATGTAAATAAAAACGTAATATATACTGAAAGTGTCATGACTATAAACGCAAACATGTACTGAAAATATTTTGATGCCCGTCTAGCACAAGATTTTGACACTCGTTGTTAAGCCTTAACCTCTTTTTCTTATAATTGCTGATCTAGTCGGTTTTGTCATTTATTTTCTTTTAGTTGGGTCATCGCTTTTGACATCTTCGTCAATTTCCATCTCGTCCAAGTCAAATTCTTTTTCTTCAATAAAATTAGAATCTTGCTCGGATTTTTCTTTTTACGAAAGTGTTGGACTTCTTCTTCCGCCGTGTTCGCTTCTTTGCCGGGAGAATTTCGTTCAGGTCGCCAGAAGGGTTTGTACCGGCCGTTTCTTCGTCACGGGAATTTTTTTGTAGCGATAGACCTTCGATTTGTTATGGTATTGAAGCTTCTTCAATTCTACACGAGCTTTCGATCAATGCTATGTTTAGTCTTCCAGTTACAGGAACTAGATCTCAGTTGAGGACCGTATACGAATCTCATATATATGCAAATATTTCCGTCAGTTCCTATATATTTGCTAACAGGGTAATTTCTGATTTAGATAGTCACTAAAGCCCGAAAATGGTAGTATCAACAAGCCCAATGTGACTTTTCAACCAAACACACCCTTATTGTGTAGCTGTAGAACTCACAGCTGCTTTGACTGTAAGAGAGCTCGAGTCGGTATTGTTGCTTTATTACTCATAATTTTTCTAATGAATTTTAAACTTTTACTTGATTATATAATGGTTCTAATTAATTGAATTTAGATGTCTGTAGAACTCATAACTTCAAAAAAAAAAAAAAGTTTCAGGCCTTAGAAACAACATGAGAAGATGTTAGATGCCTATTAACAGACATTAACAATTACAAGCCAAAAGCCAAAACACACAACTAACAGTTTTTCCTAACCTTAAGAAAGGCCTTTGAACCCAAAGCCGTCTCATTTCTCCCATTAGACAAAGGCAGCCGCTTTTTCCAGCAGCTCAGGCTCCTAAATATAGCCGCCCCACAAAACTCATCCCTCATACAAGCATCCCTGCACTCCCCCACCGTGCTCGGTTTTATCAATTCATAATCATTTTTCGGCCAGTCCACATCCGAAATCTCCACCAGCTCACAATCGCCCGAGCCACCCTGAGTACAACTCTTCCCCGAACATTCGGGCCTGCAATCTCCATATCGGTTATTCGGGTCAACCAGCGTAAACCCTCTCGGACAGCGGCAAACGGGCCTCCAATTCACGAGATTGCACACACTGTTATACCCGCAGGCCCCACTGCCCGTGTCGCCATAGATATCGAGACAAATGTTGTGATCCGGTAAGCTACCCACATATACCCACTCCGAATCGTTATCGATTTTCTTCGGATGATAATAAAATGCAAATACACCGTCGTGATCGAGCGTAGCCCTGAAATAATAATTCTCCGAGGGCAGCAGAATATTATTTGGACCGGGAATCACGACTTTTTTTTGTTCACTACTGACAATAGAAATGGAAGGATGATTTTCGTCGAGCACGAGGAAGTCGCCCGAGTTCGGGTCGCTGTTGTAATATTCGTAGTCGGGATCGAGATTTGTGCGCGCGCTCTTCGTGTCGAGCACGAAATTGCCGGCTGCGTTCATGCCGGCATAGAACCTTCCGTACGAGAAATCGGTCTTGGATTTTCGCGAGACGAGCGTGGTGGAGGAGCCGTTGATGTCGAGCTTTTGGCTCGGGAGTATCGTGTCGGAAGGATTATCGAAGCTCTGCCATAGAGGGGTATTTGAGTCATTTTCTTCGAAGAGGATGAGATTTCCGGTGTCGGTCATGGATGCGTAAGCGACTCGAGTGGTGAGATGAGGGGTTATGTGAAGTAGGCTGCCGTGAGGATCGCGGAGCACGAGGCCTTTATCGGCGTCGAGCAATAAGGTGGAGCCATGTGGCACGGGATAGCTGCTTCTTTCGAACCAGACGATGGTTTGTGGAAGGATTTTAGCGTACCATATCGCGAGCACAAAGTGATTTTTGTTGTTGGATTTGAGTTGTTGGAAGCCAAAGGCAAAGTCCCCAGAAGGGGAAAGCCATGGGTTGGAGCTTTTGGTTGCATTGATAGAGGCTCCAATGAATATGTTTTGGGTGTTTTTTTGGGATGAAGTGGAAAATGGGAAGAGGAGTAATAGTGATGTTGTGAAGAGAATAAAGGGATGAGCCATTGATGGAAGAGGTTGTGGTAGCAAAATTATCAAGTATCTTTTAGGGAATTGATGATGATTTCTTGTTTGAGGAATTTTTTTTGGGTGTGATTAGAAGCTTTAATTTGAACAAGTGAAGATATGTGTCTTCTTTGTTTCATTACCATGCTCTACGGTCTTATTAATTTTTATTAAAATATTGTAATTTTAAAGTAAAATGTCTTATTTTTCAAAATAGTATATTACAATCTATCTATACTTATATAAAAAAGGATTCTATTTACTACATTTATTATCCAGAAAAGTCAACTGCATTAAATCTCATTACTATTTCGGTATTAATATTTTATTTAACTGATTTATTTATCTATATATATATATACTAAGAATTACCATTTTTAAAAAATGGCAGGTCAACTATATGGTCAAATTCTCTCATCATTAATTACTTTTCATTAATTCAAATTTATTTATTTATTATTTTCTTAGCAAAAACGGACCAACATTAATTGATTTCCTTAAAATGTGGAAGTTGTTGCTTTATTTTTGTACAGAAAATCGGTCTTCATTATAGAAATTTGTTCAATTACACAATGAATTTGCTATGATATAATTATTTTTTATGGGAACTTTTTTTTAACAGAAAAATATGGCATTTCAATAAGATTTTCGATTTTTTAAGACTGATTGTTATCATGCTATGAAAATATACCTTAACAAAATATACACGTGTTGTATAGATCAGTTAATAGAAATATAGAATCCTCATTTTTGTATACATATGTATGTAATTTTTCTATTACCAAATTTAATTGATAGTTGTTGTGTTATAGGTTTTTCATAATTGTTACTTGGTTGTTGTGATATTTAGTTTGGTTGGTGTCGCAAAAATTCTAATCTATATATATAATAAGAATAATCATTATAATGCATATCATAAAAATATTGATATTAGAAGAGATTGAGTTCATGGCTTTTTTTAAATCGAAGTTGTTTAATTAGTATACAAAATTAAATTCTAAAAAAATATAAGTGTATATTTTGTACATTATTTATACACTATTTAAATTTAAATTTATTTACATATTTTAAATTGATTACTTATATAAATAATACCAACGTGTATTAAATATATTTCATAACATAAAATAAAAAGAACAAAAAGACGTGCAACTTCTATAACTTTATAAATAATAATGACATTATATGGCAACAGAGTTTATAGTAAAATAATAATTAACTATTATATAGTGAACAAGAATAAGTAAAATTGTTATTTTCTCTTATATCAAGGTAATAAATATATATAATAAAATTAAATTTATATTAGTATAAATGTGTTAGTGAGATAATATATTAATTATTTTACAAGTTAGCCTTAACATGCTCACGTTTAATGTTCTGACTAATAAAACAACGCTGATTAAAAGATGTGAAAAATTGATTACAATCCTATTTTTTTTTTGACTTAACGGTGATTAAAAGGGGTGGAAAATGGATGATAATCCTTTTCAGACTTAAACGGGACTTAACGGTGATTAAAAGAGGTGGAAAATGGATGATAACTCTTCTTAGACTTAAACGAAAAGAGCCTGTAAAAATAATTCATTTAATATCTCTCTCCCGTGTATCGCACGGGGTACGTACTTTTCAAAAGTATGGCTCTTTTTTCCTTTTTGTCCAACACTTGTAAAATTAAAGAGATTTTCAACATGCATTTCATACTCCCCATGTTAACGAAGACTTTTTTTTAAGTGGTGAACGTGTAAAATTAAAGAGATTTTCAACATGCATTTCATACTCCCCATGTTAACGAAGACTTTTTTTCGAGTGGTGAACGTGATGCATAATTACTTTTACTTTGTTTAAAATTATTTTTTTATTGTTATGAATAGTGTCAAATGTATTAGAATTGGAATATAATGTTGAAATAATCATAATATTTGAAAGTTGTGATAGTAGGAGCGGATCCATATTACATCCAGTGGGGGCCTAGGCCCTCACTCAAATTTCGGTAAAATGTTTACATTGAATGTTAACATATTTCTAACGAGTCACACATAAACAAACAAAACTTTTGAAGATAAATATATATAAGGAAATGAATAAAAATAAAAAGTGTTAACATATTTCTAATGAGTCACACATAAACAAACAAAACTTTTGAAGATAAATATATATAAGGAAATGAATAAAAATAAAAAGTGGTGATAATGTCTTTAACTTGTTTCCAACCATCTTGCCATAATGTATTTGGTTTTATTTATTTATTTATTTATTTATTCACTTCATAAATATTTTTCTTTTAGTATTCATTGGTTTAAGAATTAACAATCAAGTTTTATCAATCTACAAGCTCAATGGTTAACACTTGAACTGGTACTTAATTCATTAATATGTATAAATTAAATTTAAATAATAAATTTTTTTATATAAATTTATTCTTATTTGAAAATTTAGATAATTTAAAATATTGAAATGTCTAAACTAATCAATATAATAATTTAGAGATGCTCAACATTTACGTAAATATATTTATTTATTTGAAAAATATATTTAAATTATCCGAACTTACTTTTCATAAAGAAAGACTTTGGATTGATCAAGTTCTGAATATTTTTTTACCGTTCGAACCAACATGATTGATTTCAGCTCCGACCAGTTTGATCCAATCCCTTTTTTTATAAATATGGTAAATACACTATGATTCTGATTTAGTTTTATCTCTATAATATATATTATAGAGATCATGTATAATGCGCTTAAAAGAAATTGCACATTAGTTTTAGTTCGTAAAAGATTTTGAGTATAATAATGCACTTAAAATTATATTTATGAGTTTAAAAATCATAATCTATTTTTTTAAATAAATCATTTATAAAAAAATGAATTTTATGTTTTATTTTTAGACCATTTTGCCATCTCTCGAAAATAGTTTTAGGCCCACACTTAACAAATTTTTTAGATCCGCCCCTGATAAGGAGTACGTGAAAATATCTACTAACCAGTAAAAATAGATCACAAAATGTATGAAAATTAAAAAATTTAAACAAAAACTACCTAATAATTAACTGTGAAAATTGCAATAAATGCTCAATATTGGGCATTTATTGCAATGGGTTAATTGCTATATAAACCTCAACCTTTTTACATTTCACAATTTTATCCCAACCTTTGGATAATTGCATTATAATCTCGACCTCACTTTACTTATTGCAAGTCGAACCTTAAACCGATCGCACCTTCCAAAAACGCCAATGTGTCCGGCAGCTTACACCTAAGTGGATTTTCGGCTTACTACGTGGATATACAGAAAATTACACATAGGCACCAGACCAGTTTTCAAAATTAGAAACAGACCCCAAGTCTGTTTTGAAATTACAGATTTAACTTTGGGGTAAAATTGTAATTAACTGAAACTTCTGAAAATTGCAAAACAGCCCTTCACATTTGTCAAATGCTCAAAATCAGGTCCCTGCCCTAATTTTTCTTTTCTCCCGTCAGTAAAACCCTTGCCCGCCGCCGCCACGCGTCTGCCGCGGCTTCCGACCTCCGGCAAACCATCGTCGTCCCAGGCCGGCGGCTTCTCGCCGGAATTCCGAATTATTTTTTTAATGTTTGTCCGCCATTAATGGCGAACCGAGCTCGAAGCTTGATTTTCCCAGAAGCCCAATTTTTATTTTTAATGTTTGTCCGCCATTAATGGTGGACCGAGATCGAAGCTTGATTTTCCCAGAAGCTCACAGCCATGGCGGACCGAGCTCGAAGCTTGATTTTCCCAAAAGCCCACAGCCACCAAGAACCACCTTTGCTCGACTCCAAGCACGAACATCGGTGGAGAAAGAGGGTCACGCGACGAGGTCGTCGACGGCTGCATTTACCTTCAGTTTGCTGCCCACCGATAGCGGTGGTTGGCCGCGCGATTCCTAGCGACCAGGAACAGTGGCCTCAATCGCCGGCAGTGGCGTGACGGGAGATCGATGATCAGAGATGGGCCATGTGTGAATCGGCGAGAGTTGCAATTCCCAGATTGAAACTAATTCCAATTTCCTTTTCTTAATTTCAGTTTAATTGACATTAAAATAATTTCTGTATATCCACGCAAGCCAAAAAATCCACATAGATGTAAGCTGCCGGACACGCTAGCGTTTTTTAAGTAAAGTGAGGTCGAGATTATAATGCAATTATCCAAAGGTTGAGATAAAATTGCCAAACGTAAAAAAGTTTAGGTTTATTTAGCAATTAACCCTATTGCAATTAGTGAATATTATATTCGTGAATGTTTCAAATACTAGTATTCGACATGTGCATTTGCGCAGATATAAATAAAGTATTGTGAGTTATTTGTACGCATATAATAATTAATGATTTTTCTTACACTTTTTTTGCAGGCCAAATTTACAATTAAATGAGGTGAAATATTTATTTCTTTAAATTGTCATATTGAATGTAATGTATATTTTGCTATGTATTTTTTTTGTAAATTATTTATTATTTATTTAAGAATTTCAAATAAATTTTTTATTATCCAAAAGAAGTTAATTTAAATGTAACCAAAACAATAACATCTAATCACGTTAAATAGTTAACACATTATATGGTCAGCTGTAAGTAAATCAAAAGTTTAAAATGATTTTTATAATTTTAAAGTGATTAGTATGTTGATTATCTAATAATTAAATGAGAGGTTAAATAAATAAAAAGTAACGGTTTTTTGAGAGAAAAAGTTATATTGCAACATAGGTTTAATTTAATAGGTTTTATTAAATGCTCATGAGCCAGCAATCTCTCTTATCTATATATGAAGGAGTTAGGCCTCCTCTATAAGTGACACATGTCCATTTTTGTGGTCTTCAAAAGTTGACAAGTGTCCCTTTTTTTTACAATTTTGCCACTGCACTTTGAAGACCAATTGTTCAATCAGATGGCACCTCAATTGGTATGTCTTTTTACTAAAAGAGCCAGCTGCATTCACTACGTAATATCGCTTCATTTCTTCTTTTGTTGCCTTCCTCGCGGGATTTCCTCGCAGAAAATCTGGTAGCGTGTTCAATCATATACGTCTTCCATCATTTCTTTACTGATTAGACTTCTTGAGGTTGTGTTTCATTCTGCATTTTGTGGCTTAACATCTCACTCTTGCTTTCGCTCTCTTCAGAGCAGACCATCCCACACGCAACAATGAATCAGTCAAAAAGCCCCNCCAAAAAAAAAAAAAAAGCTATGATTTCAATCTACGAAAACCATCTCTCTCTCCGGACTCCGACACTCTCTCTCTCAACTAAAAATCTCTCCGGTGATGTAAACCCATCCACCCACCGCCTGCGGCCGCAACCATGGGCCAGCGCCGCCAAAAGCGCCATAACTCACCCATCGAGAAGCACCTCGCCGGTGACCCCACATCCAAGCCACTGTGGAAGTCCATTTCCTTTCCCAAGCTCCTTCAAGAAAGAGCTGAATTAGCTAACGAAGCCGCCACCTCTCCCTGGCAGTTCTGCCGCCGTGAAGCACGTGAGCTTTGGCGCGAGGGAAATGATCCGTTGTACCTAAATGAAATTTGTGGGTTTTTGTCTACACGATTGAAATTTGTGGTTAGTAGATCTTGCGAAGTATTTTTTTATTTATTTATCCAATTTTGAATGAAATTTGAAAAATATACTGAAATAGCATTACGGTTGAGCGTAGATTGTAGGCCATTCTCTTGAGTCTAAATAAGCATCGATTCATCTTTGTGGATGATTTCCATGGCTGCGAGTGGCAGACACTGTCCAGCGCAAGGTTGAAGACCGGTGATTGGAGTTAAAGGTAAGAAACGAGAAAATATTTTCTCACAAACACACTCTAATCAATCTCAAAAACCCAACCCCAACAGCCGCAAGCCCAAAAATTTTCTAAAATTTTTATCATTTTCTCCAACGCAAACAGCGAGACATTTATGTAACAATTTCTGATTTATTTGTGAATATTTCTTTTGGAATTGTAATTTTTGTTTAACGGTTTGTATATTGCTTCTGAATTAGGCTATCCCTCTGAGAAGTAGTGTCAGAAGGTGGACAAGGAACAAGGTAACTCTCTTTGTGGTCTGTTCTTTTCAAGAAATTCAATTCTAACTCTTTTATTGGCAATATTCGGCTCTGTGGATAAGAGATAAGGAGTGTAATTCATGTTTCTATTTGCACAACACATGTTTCTTTATTGGAATTGAGGACTTTATTTGGATGTCATGCTGTTTTTCTGGGGGAACCTTGTGCTTTACCTATTTTTTCCTCTCCCATGATAAGTTGTCTTCATTCTGATTTGGCCTACACAATCCTACACAATACTGTTTATTCTGTGCTGGATTTCTTGTGATTACGAGCTTTGAAGCAAACTCAATGAGAACCTTCTATTTGTTTATAAATTGGTTGTTCACCAACCACTTGTTTTTTCTTTTAATTTCCATTTTCGTTAATCTCCAGAAAGGGTAACTACGATGATATGTAGTTTTGGTAAATGATGATTGATGGGTGACGTTGGCTCGTGCTTTTCCATTTTCTAGGTGCGAACGATATTCATTTCTAGCGACGTTGACTGTTGGAATTTCGACGAATTCTAGCGGGGTTTGTTCGGCTTCTGGGAGCAAACGGGGAGAGCCGCTGGGCATCAGTTTTGTAGTAGCACCGTTAGCCAGGGGATTTGCGGAAGTGTCGAATTTATGGCGACTTTCTGTGCTGCAACCGGAGGTTTTATAAGGGCTGGAGGGCCACCAACAATGTTTGAGGCAACGTCAAGTGTTGTGACGGGCGAGGGTGCTACATTCTAATATGGAGTTTACATTTGTCTACCAAAATTTGACGGTTCCTACATTCATTCACGTTGCTGATTACTTTATCAGCAGCATTCAATGTTTCTTCTTTTTTATTTGTTTTATTTGATTTTTTTTTAGCAAATACTGGCTCAAGAGGTTAAAAAGACCTGAAAGCTAGAGAAGGCCGTGGAGCGTGCTTCAGTTCCCACTTTCCCACCCCGGTTCTGATTTTTTCTTTTCTTGTTTGTGCGTGCCAAGATAAAATTGTGATATTTTCTGAAGGATTTGCAGTTACTCCATTGTTTCCAGTGGCCTCTTGGGCACATGTTTTGCTGAATAGTGTATTTTTTCATTTTGTACTCGCCGTTATTTGCATTGTTGTTATTTGCATTGATGTTATGAAGTGAAAGGAGCAACTGCGATGGCGAAAAAGCGAAGAGACATCTATCCGATGCGAGCCGGAGGGAGAGAGAGAGAGAGAGAGACCCGACGACAGAGAGAGGTATGCCTGGACTTTCTTTGATCCCTAGGATTCAATGGCGACAGTAAATTGTAGAAAACCTATTGCTATGACCATTCAGTAACCATCATATTATTTTTACTTTTTTTTCATTTTTCTTTTTTTCTAAAATGGATAGGTGGGCACTTCTGGGATTTGCTCAAACCCCATGCTTTGTTTGAAGGGTTTGATTTTCTGAGGAACAAAAGGGTCGCCGTGGACCAGTCAGACCGCCATTAAAGGGTTCATGAGGAAGCCCCATTATTCACCGGACAGTGTACTTTACCTCATTTTAGTTGTTATTTCTCCATAAAATCTATTTCCTATAAACCCTTTATTTTGAATCATTCTTTAAAACTTTGGGGAGTGTAGATATACTTTAATCTTAGTACTTATGTTAACTTCCAATAGTCTCTATCTTTCTGTCGCACATGCTAATCGACTAAATTTATAGACATATTGTGCGCATAATTTTTCGTAGTGACTAAATTTGTACCGAATGTGCACATAATTATAGACTAGGCATAATATATGTAAAGAGTTGCAACAACAACTGAGCTGCAACAATTGCCTATAAAGTTGTATAATGAGATCTTTATGGTGAAAACTTATTTTGTTAACAACCAGTGTCAAAATTGGACATTAATTTGACTGATCATTGCAAGTGATGCTAAAATTTCACTATACTTTTAAACTAAATTTGAGTCCGCCGTGCGTGCACTGCGTGAGACAACTAGTTATATATATATAGAGAGAGAGAGATTCGTGAAAGTATGTGTGGTCAGAATATTCGTGATTTGATTAATTAGTGAATATATATATATATATATATATATAATTGCTAGCTAAGCAATAAATTTTACCTAATAAATAAAACCTAATAAATTTTACCTATGTGGCAAATCATTAATAAAACCTAATAAATAGAACCTAATAAATTTTATTTGTGTGGCATTAATACACTCAATCTCATTAATAAGAAAATATTTCATTACATTTTTTTGGGTTAATTAAGACAAAAACTATTATATTTTATGTTAATTGATTAATAATTATATTTTTTATTGAATAATATAATAGTTAATATTAAAATTAGTAATTATATTTTATACTAAATAATATATGAAAGTTACATAAAATTATATTTTACACTAAAATCAATATTTTTTTATATGATGAAGATGTTGTTTATTAATAAATTAATTTTTTTTATGTCATAGTAAAATTTCTTAAAATCACATAAGCAATTGTTATAATAAATGTAATATTTTTCAGCTAATTAATTGGTCATGATCACTCAAAATTATAAAAAGTATATATTTATTACATTTTATGCAATCAATATAGTGATTCGTATACAATCAAATCGTGTGTACTATTTATTTTAACCAATGATCAAATTTTAAAATATAATACTATTATATAATTTATAATTTTAATATTATATACATAAATATAACTTATAATACTATATGTTTGAAATATAATACAATTATATAACTTATAATTTTTATATTATATACATAAATATAACTTATAATATTTAATTTTATTTACATCTGTGCAAATGCACAAGGTCGAATACTAGTTTATATAATTGCTAGCTAAGCAATAAATTCTACCTAATAAATAAAACCTAATAAATTTTACCTATGTGGCAAATCATTAATAAAACCTAATAAATAGAACCTAATAAATTTTATTTATGTGGCATTAATACACCCAATCTCATTAATAAGAAAATATTTCATTACATTTTTTTGGGTTAATTAAGACAAAAACCATTATATTTTATGTTAATTGATTAATAATTATATTTTTTATTGAATAATATAATAGTTAATATTAAAATTAGTAATTATATTTTATACTAAATAATATATGAAAGTTACATAAAATTATATTTTACACTAAAATCAATACTTTTTTATATGATGAAGATGTTGTTTATCAATAAATTAATTTTTTTATGTCATAGTAAAATTTCTTAAAATCACATAAACAATTGTTATAATAAATGTAATATTTTTCAGCTAATTAATTGGTCATGATCACTCAAAATTATAAAAAAGTATATATATATTACATTTTACGCAATCAATATAGTGATTCGTATACAATCAAATCGTGTGCACTATTTATTTTAACCAATGATCAAATTTTAAAATATAATACTATTATATAATTTATAATTTTAATATTATATACATAAATATAACTTATAATACTATATGTTTGAAATATAATACAATTATATAACTTATAATTTTTATATTATCTACATAAATATAACTTATAATATTTAATTTTATTTACATCTGTGCAAATGCACAGTGTCGAATACTAGTGTTTCATAAAAAGTAAAATGTATAATGGGCTAAATTATCATTTGTCTCAAGTTGCTGGACATATTTTGCAATTTGTCTTCTTCATTTTGTTGAATATTTCAACATATATTTGTTTTAGAGTCTCAATAAAGTGCCTTTATTATCCTTTGATATAATTAATGATATTGTTTTAATTTTTCATCCTCTTTGAATATTGATTATTTACTGCTTTCAGTATCATGTATGGTGATCACCTTTTTAATGTCAATTGAATATTAATCATTTTTTAGTTTTGATGTAATTGTTTCTCTTCCTCTATTACTAACGTACCCGTGCGATGCACATGAAAATAATTATAAATTGTATATATTAAAGTCATGAAGAATATTGATTACTATAAAAATAGATTTGAATATTAATATTTTTTATTTTACTTTATGGTATAAAACAATTTAACATATAATTTATATGTTTATAAAATAGTTGTCATTTTAGAGTTCTTGTTTAGAATTAAGGATAATTACAATTTAACATATTCAAACATTATCAATAAATAATACACACAAAGTACTTCTCTCTCTATATTTCCTTACTCATATGTTATTACAAACATAGAGTATTATAAATTATATTTTAAATATACACACAATATTTAATATTTTAAATTAGATACTAATATTATATTTTAAACATAGAGTATTATAAATTATATTTATGCATATAATATTAAAACTATAAGTTAGATAATGTTATATGTTTTAAAATTCGATCATCAATTTAAATTAATAGGATATATATTATATGATTTATACTACTTTTATGAATATTACATAGCCAAATATAACAGAGATTGTAAAACGTCTTTCTTGATAATCTATAGCCTTACTATTTTAAAATTGTAAATTACTTAATTTAAAGAAGGGAAAAATTGAGTAAGGGTATGCAATCAATATCAAATTTGTATTCTGGATGATTATACAAAACCCAAATTTTTAGGATGTTCCAATCCGATTTTATTTTGAATTTTAAATTAATATTCTCTGACTCTGTTTTATTAAAAAAAAAAGCGAACTAAAGAAAGTAGTAGCCAAATGTTAAGGGATTTTTAAATTTTAATTTTCAATTTGAATTGGGCCCAATTTCTATGCAATCCAATTTTTTTTAATATACACGATCTGTTGCAATTAGGTAAAGATACATGTTATAGTATTATGCCTAATTCGAAATTGCCGATTTTATGGTAAACTTATTTTTTTTAAATAAAAAATGAGAGAATTTTGACTTTACAAAATCGGCATACCAAATTTTACCTAAATTAACCCGATTTCTATGCAATCCGATTTTTTTAATAAACAATTGGTCTGTTGCAACTAGGAAGATATATATATATATATATATATATATATATATATATATATATATATATATATATAGGATGTGGTTCAAATGAGAACCAAGTCTTAGTGTGAGAACCGTGAGAACCGCTATTTTTATTTGGGCGTAGTGCTATGATTGATTGTGTTTGATGCTATTTTTAATTAGGATAAATTTTATTAAAAATAGCAACACAATTTCTGGTAGCACTTGTAAGAATGATAGCATCATCTACTATGAAAAATAGCATCATGCACAATTAAAAATAGCATCAAAAATGGTTCTCGCGGTTCTCACACCAGGACTAGTTTTTATTTGAACCAACCCTATATATATATATATATATATGATAGTATTTTGCCTGATTTGAAATTCTCGATTTTATGGTAATCCGCTTTTTTTAATAAAAAATGAGAAAGAATTTTGACTTTTGCAAAATTGCAAGCATCAGTCGAAATTTACCTAAATTTAATCCACAAAACCCATGAATTAAGGGTGCATATATAGCTGATTGATTTTTTGGGAATAATTTAAAAAGAAAATGCAAAAACTGCCAAAAAATAGAATGCAATAAATGTTGGTTGACTTTTTTTGTTACTATTTTTGGTAAATAAGTTGGCTTTATATATATATATATGAATATATCATGGTCAAATATAGACATTTGACCATTAATTAATTGGACATTTGATTCAAACCCACCAACCTGTGGGACCCACTACTACACACATTAAAACTAACCACCATAAATCTTGTGCCACCAACCTAGGGGTGAGCAAGAGTCGGTACGGTTCGGAGATTGAGAAATCTCCGGAACCGTACCAAATTTTGGATATCACTAAAGTTGATCTCCGGAACCGTACCAAAAAACCGAGACGGTTGGTTCGGACATTTTTATTTTTCGGTTCAGTTCAGTTCGGTATTCGGGACTATCGGAACAGTTTGATTCGGTATGGTTCGGTTCGGATCTTCGAAAATTTCTTATTAAAAAAAAATTGAATGACTACCTAGTTATATTTTAATTTATATACTTTAAACAAAACATCATTTATCAACATTTCTTCATGTTGAAAATTTTATTTTGAAATCAACTTTAGAAGTAACTTTAAATTTTAGTTATTTAATTTTTTATATGCTTTAGAAAACCAACATTCATCAGTACTTCCTCATATTAAAGACTTTATTTTGAAATCAACTTTATAAGTAACTCTAAATTTTAGTTAACACTAAATTTATGCAACTAATATTGAAAATTTAAAATTCAAACAAATTATAACATATAGAAAAACTTTTTCTCTCCTTCTCCGCTTCTCTCGCCCCTTCCGATAAATCTTGCTCGCCTCTCTGATCTTGCCGGTTTTAGCCTCTTTTAGCAGTAGTCCGGGTTCGCCGGTGGAAGGCTCTCCCGCGGTACATTCAATTTTGGGCTGAAATGCTTTGATCCGGTGTCTCAAGCCAAAGGGGAGGGCTAGGGTTTTTCTCATTTCTGCGCGAGGAACGCCGGCTATCCTGAGGTGTTGGGTTTCGGTGGGCGCGTCGTCTGTCCTTGGAGGTGGCTCGGCTGCTCCTCTCAACTTTGCAGGGATGATTTCTCTTTCTTCTGGCCGGGCCTTCTGGTCTCCGGTCTCGATACTCCTGTTCACGCCGGTTCCGGCGCTGTGGGGTGGTTGGGGCGGGGTCCTGCCCTTGTGTGCCAGGCTGGGAGGAGATTGTCGCTTAGTCGGGTTGTGTTCGAGCGGCTGGGCCTGGATGCCATTCGAACCCTTCCTCCCTTTCGCTCTTTCTGAGCCCGAGGGAGGCCAACCGTGTCCGGAATTGGCTAGTGGTGTTAGGCAGTTTCGGGATGGTGATGGACTTAGCTAGTGGTGTTAGCTGGTTGGGGTTCGATTGTGGTTTCTAGCGGTTGGAGAGCGAGTCGGCTTTATTGGTCTGTTTTGAGGCTCGGGTCTTCGTCTTTGCTAGGCAATATGCAGTGGCGGGTGGAGTTCAGGTGCTTTGGATCTTTCCTTGTAGTTGTCCTTGTCTGCTGTACAATCTCGGACGTTTCTGCTGAAGGAGGGCTGTGTTTTCGTTCATAGTTGTTTTGTTTATTTTGTCGTTTATTTTTGTGATGTTTGTGTCTGTGTTTGTGCTTGTTTCTTGTGTTCTAGGTTTGGGCCGTTGGCCCCTGTATGCCCCTATGAGCCCGAGCGTCACCTTATTATCCTGTTGGGATCAGACGCTTGGGTATTATCCTGGTGGGATCTTTTTAGTTGTTTTAGTTTTTGTTTGTGTTAGTTTTTTAGTGTAGTTGCGAGTTTGTCATTCTAGCGTTGCTAGACGGTTCTAGGCGATCTTCGGATTAGCCTCCCAGTTTTATAGCCTCTGGTTGTATTATTCAGCTTTTGGTTGCTTTCTTTTCGCACTTTGTGCGATTTTTATTAATATAGTACCTCTATCGTTTTGGAAAATATATATATATATATATATATCATAGTTTTTTCTTAAATAAATATTCTTTAACCTTTCATACCATTTTAAATATTTTTTTATAACAGGAAAAATTCAATTGTAGATCAAGTATTACTAAGCATTAAGTTTAAGTGAAACTTAATTGTTATAACTATATTTTATTTGCATTTTAAAAATTCTTAAATTATATAGAATCAAAGTTGACATATAATATATTAATAACACACATATAATGTTATAATTCGGTTCGGTATGTATGGGACGGTTCTCAGTTATCGGTTCAGATATTTGTAAAATCTCCAAAACCGTACCAATTATTTTTTCGGTTTGGTTCGGTTCGGAGAAAGTCAAACAGTCAACGGTTATTTTTCTATTCGGAGTAATTTCGGTTTGGTTTGTGGAACAATTCAGAATTCTCCAAGTCCCATGCTCAGCCCTACACCTACTCTTCCCCCTCCCTCGTTCTTTTTCACACATACACACACACACACAAACACGCACACACTACAGAATACACATACACGCACTATTCAAGAGGCAGACCACCATTGAGTCGTCGCACCCGCAGCCGACTCGCCCCTTGACAGCCCCGACCTCTGCCGTACACAACCACTTCGTTCTCTATCTCCCTGTTACTATGGCATCATCTTGCCAAAAAAATCGTGCTGGATTTTCATCGCCGTCATTGGTCGTCGTCGCCTCCAGCCCATACGTCATCTCCACCACTAGGACTCCAATAGCTCGGCACAGCTCCGCCGGCCATGTCGTCTCCGCCACAACCCCGGCACAGCTCCGCCGGCCCTTGCGCTCAGTTGTATCTGGCAAAGAAGTCAACCGTCGATCCACTGGACGCCATAGGGGTGGCTTCGACTCGAGAACGTCCACCTGGGATCGCCGGAGAATGAGTAGCCGACGTGATTTCTGCAAATTTGCTACTGATGTAACCACCAGCGTGGCGAAATGGTGACGTGACATTCGACGGCCAGATGGTTCCCAGCCGGTAGCGGTGGCGGCTTGTACAGCAGGGGGCCGAAAAATGTTTATTGGGGTTTTTGTATTAGATATTTGATAACATATAGGGGCCTAGTTGCAATTGTAAAAATTTTAGTATATTACAATTAAGTTCATAGGTCATATTTGTAATTAATCGAAAAATTTAGTTTGGATGGTTCCAATCGCTACTGTGCAATCTAATAGTCATTTATGTGCAACCTGTCTAACACTATCTGTCTAACACTATTGTGCACTCACAACACATAAAAATGTATAAATAATAATAATAATAATAATAATAATAATAATAATAATAATAATAATTTATATAGTTTGGTTGGTTTGATTATTTGGTTCTTTTAAAAATAAAGCTGACATCGAACATAAATAATTGATATTTGAAAAGTAAAAATAGATAATCGAACTGAAATGTGCTATCGGATAGTCACTAAAGTGCAATACGTATAACACTATTATGCACTTAGTGGCATACATTTTTAATGGGTTGATCCACACCAAACTAAAATTGATTTATTCGACCGATTAACCGAATTAATCTAAATAATATATATGATTTATTATTTATATTATAAAAATATATTTATTATTTCAATGTTTATATTTAATATTTTATATTTAGTTTTGGTTTAAGATACATAATATATAAAATATCGATATCAATAATTTAATAATGTGCATTTTCACATACAATAATGTTCATTTAGTCTATCATTATTGCGCAGTTTATTGATTGTGTATTTCTAATGTGCATTTCAATTTTAGAATTTTAATAATGTGTGTTTTAATTATCATTATTTTGCAATTATAAAATTATTTATTATCATATAAATATTTGGTACACATAAATGTATTTAATATTTATATTATTTATTGAAAAAAATAATATATATACAAATGAAATACACAAATAACATTTTTTTATATCGACAACTTTAATAATGTGTAGCGATAGCCCCTCTCTCTAAATCGCCGAGGAAGACTAATATATACATATACGCATCTTCAAACCCTCGTCTGCTCGTCAGCTTACTAAGTCCGTTGAATTCAAAATCGAATTTCAAATCGATGTTCGCGATTCTCCGTGGCAGGCGACTTCGGCTCCCACTGGAGCTCTCTGTTTTGGCCGCCCGTCAATTTTGGGCATCTGAAAATGCAGTGTTTTCCAGGCCGTTCACCACCGGGAGACCACCGCCAGGTGTTCGTGAAAATGACTCCGAGAAATCCTTCACCTTTTCTTACCTCGTCAGCTCATGCGGGTTGACCCCAGACGCCGCCGTCCGCACCTCCAGTAAACTCCAGCTGAAATCGCCGGAAAAGCCAGACGCGGTGTTGAATCTCCTCAGAGAGTACGGATTCACGGCCGCCCACATCTCTGCAATGGTCACCCGGTGGCCGAACGTTCTCTCTGCCTGCCCAGACCAAACCCTTTTGCCCAAGCTCGAATTTTTCGCATCATTTGGCATCCCCCTCCCCATCCTGGCTAGCAGCCTGTCCCGAAACCCTTCCATCTTAATGTCCAGCCTGAAGAACTCAATCATCCCCTTATACGATTTCCTGAAAAACTTGCTTGGGTCTGATAAGGGGGCTGTTCAAGTCTTGACACAAGCTGCCCAGTTCTTCAGCTGGAACCGGCCTCACGACATCTCCTCCAACTTCTCGTTTCTTGTGGCCTGCGGGGTCCCTCGGCCATCTCTTGTGTCAATGGTCAAGTACGACCCAAAAATGCTCTTGGTTCCTCAGGAGAAGTTATCCTTGTGCGTGGATCGAGCAATAGAAATGGGGTTTGACGTGTCCCATAATGCATTTGTGAAGGCCATTCGGGTTTTGGTGGGTTTTGGTGAGTCGGCCCTTAAGCGCAAGATGGAGATTTATAGAAAGTGCGGCATGTCTGAATCCGACATCAAGACTGCCTTTCTGAGTCAGCCGTTGTGTATGGCCTTGTCCGAGAAGAAGATTCTGGAGAGTATGGGTTTTCTCGTTCATAAATTGGGGTGGGCACCAGGTGACGTGGCCCGGTGCTCTTGGATTCTTGGGTACAGCCTCGAAAAGAGAATGAAGCCGAGGTGGGCAGTTGCTGAGGTTTTGAATGAAAAGGGGTTGAAGAATGTGGCTATCACGTCCCTGCTGACAATGTCCGAGAAGGTTTTCTTGGAGACCTATATCGAGAGGTACGAGAAGGATGTTCCTGAACTTTTGGACATTTATCGAGGTAAATCAAATCTTGGCCAGCACCTCTTGAATTGATTCTTGGTCGATGAGTTAACTGATGATTTTGTTTGCCGGCTTAGGAGCATTATTATTACCGAATTCTTGTTTTTTATGTTACATCCGTAATCCTCTTCGGTTCAACTGGAGTTGCAGAACAGTATTTTTATGTGTTCATTGATGGTATTCTGTTTGTAACAATATATGAGAAGTAAATTGTGTTTCCAAAAAGAAAAAAAGAAAAAACTTTAAAAAAAAATAGAATAAAACTTAATAATGTGTTTCAATTGACATTATTGTGCATTCTGATAGTCACCAATGTGACATCTTGTATAGTATATTGTTGATAGTCAACCAAACACACCCCACCCTTATAGTTTAGCAACTTTAGTTGTTGAACTCACAGCTGCTTTGGCCGTAAGAGAGCTCGAATCGGTATTGTTGCTCTAGTAGCCACAATAAATCTTAAACTTTTACTTGATTATATATGGTTCTAATTAATTGAATTCACATGTCTGTAGAACTCATATATAACTTATTAGGATTAAAAAAGTTTCAGGCCTTCGAAGCAACTTGAGAAGACGCCTATCACCAGACATCAACAATTACAAGCCAAAAGCCAAAACACAAGACTACATAAACTGACCCAATCCATCAACTAACAGTGTTTCCTAACCTTAAGAAAGGCCTTTGAACCCAAAGCTGTCTCATTTCTCCCATTAGACAAAGGCAGCCACTTTTTCCAGCAGCCCAGGCTCCTGAATATAGCCGCCCACAAAACTCATCCCTCATACAAGCTTTTAGGGCTGACATTTTTTAACCGAAAACCGAAACCGAACCGAACCAAACCGAACCGACGAAAAAATAAACCGAATCGTACCGAACCGCTTGTAACGGTAACCGACTATCGGTTACCGAATCACTATCGGTACAGTATCGGTTTGAACCCATAAGAGTTCGGTAAAACCGATACCGAACCGATAAGGGTAAAAAAAAATAAAACAAAGATTTTTTTTTTAAATATTAAAACAATGATTAGTTGTTTAATGTTCAAAAATTTAAATAAGGGCTCAATCCTACCTAAATCTCAAAATGACGAGAAAAATGCCATTACTCATCGCCTCATTCACCTTCTAGTCGGAACATTGTTGGTTTACCAGTCTCACTTCTTCTAAAGAAGATGCATGCTACTGTTACTGTAGTTTATTCTCGTACCACCGTTACTAGATAAGTTAGATAAGTTAGTTGAAGTTGTATCACAAATTTTATTTCTTGCATGTTAGGATTATATTGTTTTATTAGTTGAGTTTACCACAAAAACTATAATCTAATAATATATAAACTAACTTCTATACATTAAATTTAAGCTTTTTAATCCTTCAATGGATTTGTTAGTATTTTGTGTGTATTTAATTGGTAAGAAGTGAAAAAAATTACAAAAATGACGAGAAAAGTAAATACTAGCAATTTTTTTTTTTGCTCAAAATCGGTTCGATTTTTTTGGTATAAAACCGATACCGAACCGAAACCGAACTGAGTTTTCGGTTACCGAATTTTCGGTAACCGACTTTAATCGGTTCGGTATCGGTATTGCATTCCGAGGTTACCGACATTATCGGTACGGTATCGGTATACGCTTATCGGTTCGGTAACCAACTCATAATCACCCGAGCCTCCTTGAGTACAAACGGGCCTGCAAACGGGCCTGCAATCTCCATATTGGTTATTCGGGTCGACCAGCGGCAAACGGGCCTCCAATTAACGAGATTGCACACATTGTTATACCCGCAGGCCCCACTGCCCGTGTCCCCATAGATATCGAGACAAATGTTGTGATCCGGTAAGCTACCCACATACACCCACTCCGAATCGTTCTCGATTTTCGTCGGATGATAATAAAAGGCAAAAACACCGTCATGATCGAGCGTAGCCCTGAAATAATACTCCTCCGAGGGCAGCAGAATATTATTTGGACCGGGAATCAAGACTTTTTTTTTTTGTTTACTGCTAACAATAGAAATGGAAGGATGATTTTCGTCGAGCACGAGGAAGTCGCCCGAGTTCGGGTCGCTGTTGTAATATTCGTAGTCGGGATCGAAATTCGTGCGCGCACTTTTCGTGTGAGCAATAAAGTACGTGTGTGGTCAGAATATTCGTCATATGATTAATTAGTGAATGTTTCATAAAATGTAAAATGTAGTGGGCTAAATTATCATTTGTCTTAAGTTGCTGGACATATTTTGCAATTTGTCTTCTTCATTTTGTTGAATACTAGTGTATATCCCGTGCGATGTACGGAAGAGTTCATATTTTAAACATTTTTTAGACTTTATTTTAAATATAATTATTTATATTTTTCACATCTCGTCTATTATGAAAATAAAATAAATTCAATCAATGAAAAATATATAATATTAAATACTTTTCTTTATACAATATTTTTTATTTAAGGAATATTATTAAACCTTACGGTTTTGATTTGTTTTTTTAAATCAATAATCCAAAATATATGATTGTTAACGTACAAAAAATAATGGAAATAATCCAGACATTAAAGTAAAGTTATTTTTTATTATTTTACAAATAAAAATCTTCCAAATTTTTTTTAATTTCAAAAAAAAAATTGACAAGTTTGATAATGAGTTAAATCAAGTTATACAAATGATTAAATAGTTAAAATGTTATATTAATTATATTTTAAGAAATCCGATTATATAAAAATGGGTAAAAAAATATTATACTAATTAGTTTGTTAGGATTGTGATTATATGGAAGTTAAAATAAAATGAAATGTAACCAAAAAATTTGTTCGTGGTTTTTTCCTAAATGTTTGAATTTAAAAATCTAGTAACCAAATTTACATTATATCACGTAAGGAAAAAAATAAATAATAAATATTTATTAAAGAGATAAATCAATAATATTTATCACTTAGATAATAAATAATAAATATTTACATGTAAAAAAATAAATAATAATATATTTAAAAATATAAGTCAGAATTTCAAATAAAGTAAAAGGAGGGATAACTCATTTTTTAAAAAAAGTTTCTAAATATTTAATATATTGATAAGTATCTCCATAAGAATAATCATACCATTTTAATTTTAAAAAAATTGGCAACTTTGTTAGAGAGATAAATTCGGTTAGACAAATGATTAATTTGTTAAGATATTATATTAATTGTATCATAAAAAATCAGTTAGATAATGTAGATAAAAAAATATAATACTAATTAGTTTGTTAGAAATGTGATAATGAAAACCAAGATAAAATGAAATTTACCCAAAAAAATTGTTTGGAATCTTTTCCTTTAAATGTTTGAATTTACAAATTTAATACCGAAATTCTATTATATCACATAAGGAAAAAATAAATAATAAACTTTTATTAATATATTAAAATATGTAATTTTGAATTTCATATAAAGTAAAAGGTATGCTTATTCAAATTTATTTTTAAAATAAAAGTTATGATAAACATTTATTTATTCTCTTTCAAATATATTAATAAAATAAAAACATAAATCTAAAAAATTTTGAAACAACCAAAAAATCGGATTGATTGGCATAAAAAAAGGAAGTGAAATCGGATTTGAATGCTAAAATCGGAACACCTTACCAAATTGAATGATAAAAGATTCGATTTGATTGGTTACCTAATTGTATGGGCTGAAAAAATTCAAAAAAAAATTTTACGAATTGAAGAAGCGAGAAAAACACTATATTCAAGCGGGAAAACAAAATGATTATTTTCGGATTGTTCAAATAATTTTTCTTGTCCGTATTATATAGTAATAGATTTCAACATATATTAAAACCAACCACCATAAATCTCGTGTCACCTACCCTACGCCCTCCCTCTTTCTCTTTCACACACACACGACACAATACACACACGCACTATTCAAGAGCGGGACCACCATAGAGTTGTCGCACCCGCAACCGACTAGCCCCTCGACATCCTTGACCTTTGCCGTACACAACAACTTCGTTCTCTATCTCCCTGTTACTAGTATTGCACTTTAGCGACTATCCGATTTTACATTTCAGTTCGATCATCTATTTTTACTTTTCAAATACCAGTTATTTATGTTCGAGGTTAGCTTTATTTTTAAAAGAACCAAATAATCGAACCAACTAAACTATATAAATTATTATTATTATTATTATTCATTTTTATGTATTGTGAGTGCATTAGACAAGTTGCACATAAATGACTATTAGATTGCACAGTAGCGATCGAAACCATCCAAACTAAAATTTTCGATTAATTACAAATATGACCTATGAACTTAATTGTAATTATACTAAAATTTTTACAATTGCAACTAGGCCCCTATATGTTATCAAATTTCTAACACAAAAACTCCAATAAGCATTTTTTGGCCCCCCTGCCGTACAAAGTCGCCGTCGCTACCGGCTGGGAACCGCTGGCCATCGGATGTCACGTCACCATTTTGCCACGTCGGTGGTTACATCAGAGGCAGATTTGCAGAAATCTCGTCAGCTACTCATTCTCTGGCGATCCCCGGCGGGCGTTCTCCAGTCGAGGCCACCCCAACAGTGTCCGGTGGATCGACGACTGACTTCTCTGCTGGATACAACTGAGCGCAGGGGACAGCGGAGTTGTGTCGGGGTGGTGGCGGAGATGACGTATGGGCTGGAGGCGACGACGAACAGTGACGAGGTGAAAATTTGACACGATTTTTTCAGCGAGATGGTGCCATCGTATAACACTATTGTGCACTTAATCGCATACATTTTTAATGGGTTGATCCACACTAAGCTAAAATTGATTTATTCGACTGATTAACTACATTAATCTGAATAACATATATGATTTATTATTTATACTATAAAAATATATTTAGTATTTCAATGTTTATATTTAATATTTTATATTCAGTTTTGGTTTAAGAGACATAATGTTTGTCCCATTTTTGTTTCGTTTTTCGTTATTATTTTACCTTTCTTTTTCTCCATATTTAAGTAATCCTTTTGGTTTTTGGTCCGTTTGTGTCTTGTCGTGTGTTTTTCTTTATTTTGTTTGATTTAGGAGTTCTCGTTTGTTTTTTCTGTTTTTTCTGCGTTTTTCTTGTCGGTTGTGGTGTGCAGGTTAGGTGGCCCAGTCGGTTATAACTTTCAAGAAGAAATGGCCGAGCGAAATCAATTATCTAGAAGGATGAGTTGGGGTCGAACGGGAAAAGACGGAATTCAATTTCGCGTCCGGACGCGTGTGTACGAACTCAAGAACCACACACTACCGAATCTCCTTCACCGCGGCCCGTGACAACCTCCCACTGCCGCGGGGGTCGAATTTCCACACTGCCAACATTTTCTTCGTCGCTGTCCGCGAGGTGGTTCTGCGGCCGCGAGTCAGTTCTGCAGTTGAAGAGTCGCGGCCTCGGCAGTAGTCGCGGTCGCGAAGCGTTTCTTCGCTGCAGCCCGCGGGGCTCTCCGCGGACGCGGAGGCCGCGAATTTCTGCATTTTAGGGGACGGTTTCAGAAGGCGAGAAAGGAGAAAATTTTAAATCTTTTTGGTAAAAAACGAGGCTAGGGCTTGTGAGACATCATTCTTGACTTATTTTATTTCTTTTTCACCTAAAAAACACATTTTCTCTTCTCTTTTCACTTGGATTTGATTTTGGAGAGTAGAAAACTCCATTTTATCTTATGGATTTAGATTACTTTTGGGATTTGACATTGAATTTCGTATTAGTCGTAAGCTTCTCTTCTCATTTTATAAATGAATATTATGGCTTTGTTTGACGTGAATGTTGATGTTGAATTTGTGATGAGTAGCTAAATTCTTTAGTTAGGGTTAGAGGATAATTGTTCCGGTTCGTTCTCGTTTGCGTGCATGTTGAATACTCAATCCTTGCGAGTTGTGTTATTCCTAGGGTTAGATGATTGATCACCGTCTTAATCTGGTTAATCGATTTGTAGAACCGAAAGGGGAGAAATCGATCGATCTAGGCTCGTTTAGAATAGACTTGTTCGTAATGGTATTGTCTATGTGTTAATTGATTCGATAATTGTTCGTTTATATTTATTCTTTTGTTACGAAGAGTTATTGAGAATAAATCTCTTGATCATGAGTAAGTGTTCGAGTCCGTTAACCGATTATTTGATTGCCCGATAAATGTATTTAGAACCGGATTGTCCCTGATACCCTAGCATCTTTATCACTGATTGATTTGTGTTTTGAGTTGTGAGATTTGAATAGCTTTGTTCAAGTATCATTAGTTGATAATAAAAAACAACACATTGAATTAGTGTGTTAGGATTATTTTCTCTGTTTTGATTGAATACTCATGCAATTTTATCCGACTGACCTTCCTTGAGACATGATCCGGTGGTCGAATTTTTCGATTCTACTACGGTAAAAATAACTTCAACACATAATATATAAAATATCTATATCATTAATTTAATAATGTGCATTTTCACAGATAACAATATATTTAGTCTATGTAGTCTATTGATTGTGTATTTTCTAATTTGCATTTCAATTTTAGAATTTTAATATTTTTAAATTATTTTTCAATTATAAAATTATTTATTATCATATAAATATTTGGTACATATAAATTTATTTAATATTTTATATTATTTATTGAAAATAAGTATTATATATACAGATAAAATACACAAATAATATTATTTTAAATAGACAACTTTAATAATGTGTAGCGATTGCCCTTCTCTCTAAATCGCCGAAGAAGACTAATTATAAATATACTGATACGCATCTTCAAACCCTCGTCTGCTCGTCAGCTCACTGAGTCTGTTGAATTCAAAATCGAATTTCAAATCGATGTTCGCGATTCTCCGTGGCAGGCGACTTCGGCTCCCACCGGACCTCTCTATTTTGTCCGCCCGTCAATTTTGGGCTTCTGAAAATGCGGTCTTCTCCAGGCCGTTCACCACCGGGAGACCACCGCCAGGTGTTCGTGAAAATGACTCCGAGAAATCCTTCACCTTTTCTTACCTCGTCAGCACATGCGGGTTGACCCCAGACGCCGCCGTCCGCACCTCCAGTAAACTCCAGCTGAAATCGCCGGAAAACCCAGACGCGGTGTTGAATCTCCTCAGAGAGTACGGATTCACGGCCGCCCACATCTCTGCAATGGTCACCCGGTGGCCGAACGTTCTCTCTGCCGTCCCAGACCAAACTCTTTTGCCCAAGCTCGAATTTTTCGCATCATTTGGTATCCCCCTCCCCATCCTGGCTAGCAGGCTGTCCCGAAACCCTTCCATCTTAAAGCCCAGCTTGCAGAACTCAATCATCCCCTTATACGATTTCCTGAAAAACCTGCTCGGGTCAGATAAGGGGGCTGTTCAAGTCTTGACACAGGCTCCCCAGTACTTCAGCTGGTACCGGCCTGACGACATCTTGTCCAACTTCTCGTTTCTTGTGGCCTGCGGGGTCCCTCGGCCATCTCTTGTGTTAATGGTCAAGTTCAACCCAAAAGTTCTCTTGGTTCCTCAGGAGAAGTTATCCTTGTGCGTGGATCGAGCAATAGAGATGGGGTTTGACGTGTCAGATAATGCATTTGTGAAGGCCATTCAGGTTTTGGTGGGTTTTGGTGAGTCGACCCTTAAGCGCAAGATGGAGGTTTATAGAAAGTGCGGCATGTCTGAATCCGACATCAAGGCTGCCTTTCTGAGCCAGCCGTTGTGTATGACCTTGTCCGAGAAGAAGATTCTGGAGAGTATGGGTTTTCTGGTTGATAAATTAGGGTGGGCACCAGGTGACGTGGCCCGGTGCTCTTGGATTCTTGGGTACAGCCTCGAAAAGAGAATGAAGCCGAGGTGGGCAGTTGCTGAGGTTTTGAATGAAAAGGGGTTGAAGAATGTGGCTATCACGTCCCTGCTGACAATGTCCGAGAAGGTTTTCTTGGAGACCTATATCGAGAGGTACGAGAAGGATGTTCCCGAACTTTTGGACATTTATCGAGGTAATCGAATCTTGGCCAGCACCTCTTGAATTGATTCTTGGTAGATGAGTTAACTGATGATTTTGTTTGCCGGCTTAGGAGCATTATTATTACCGAATTCTTGTGTTTTATGTTACATCCGTAATCCTCTTCGGTTCAACTGGAGTTGCAGAACAGTATTTTTATGTGTTGATTGATGGTTTTCTGTTTGTAACAATATATGAGAAGTAAATTGTGTTTCCAAAAAGAAAAAAAGAAAAAACTTTAATAATGTGTTTCAATTGACATTATTGTGCATTCTGAGTGACATCTTGTATAGTATATTGTTCATTCTGCAGTGCGAGGGTTTTTTTTTAATCCATTTTTATAGTGAAAAAAGATGCGCTACCTTTACTCTATAACCTCAAACTTGGGTACTTATGTGAAACCGTAGAGTGTTTGCGAACCTCAACAAAACTCACTGCTAAAGATGCCATCAATATAGCATTAGGATGAAATGTAATCATTAATTTATTATCCCAATCAAAAACAAAAGAAACTACAATATCATCACCTTCAGGGACTTCTCACCTCACGTTCAACCTAATTGAGCAATTTCAACTTGTTTGATTGGTTACATTCAGATAAAAACTTGCTCCCAAAACCCAACCTTCTTCTTTAAAAAAAAAAAAACAGTTCACTTCCTGACCTTGAGAAAGGCCACAGCTCCCAAACTTGTATCAACCCTCCCATTAGACAAAGGCAGCCTCTTTCTCCAGCAGCTGTTGCTCCTGAAAATGGCGGCCCCACACAAATAATCCTTCAAACAACCGTCACGACACTCTTCAAGCGTGCTCCGGTTCATCTGCACGTAGTCGTTCAACGGCCAATCCACATCCTTAATCGTTACCAACCGATACTCATCCAACCCAGCCTGGCCAAGGCAGTCCCCACTGAAATTCGCCCTACAGTCCCCGTACTCGTTTTCCTGGTCAACCAGCACGAACCCGTCCGGGCACCGGCACGCGGGCCTCCCGTCTTTAAGGCTACACACATTGTTGTACCCGCAAGCCCCGCTTCCCTTGTCTCCGGTGATGGCGAGGCACACGTTTTCCGGCAAGGTTCCACCGGAGGAAATTTCCCACTTCGAATTTCCGTCGAACTTTTTCGGATATTGGTAGAGCGAAAAGACGCCGTCGAAATCGATGGTTGCCCGGAAATAGTAATCCGCGGCGGGAAGGCTCGAGCGGAGAATCACGGTGCTCCCGATTGTAATCTCGGGAGGATTCGCGGCGAATGCGACTCGTTCGCTCGAGCCCGGCCCGGCGGTGTAGTACTCGGCGTCGACGTTTAGGTTCGTCGGGAGGGTTTTCGTGGTCAGGGCGAACTTCCCGTCGGCGTTGATTCCGGTGTAGAATCTCCCGTACGAGAGTTCGGTTGGGGATTTTCGAGAGACGAGTGTCGATCCGCCGGACTCGATCGTCTGGCCGGGAAGGATCGTGTCGGCCGGGTTTTTGAAACTCTCCCAATAATGAGTGGCGGCGTTGCCGGAGAGGATGAGGTTGCCGGAGTCGGTTATGGCGCCGTAAGCCACTTGGCCGGCGAGATTCTCGGTGTAGGTGTGGAGAGGGTTGCCCCGAGAGTCACGGAGGACGAGGCCGTTTTTGGCCTCGAGGGTTAGGGTGGCGCCAAGTGGCGCGGTGTAACGGTCGAACCAGACTATGGTTTTTGGAGGGATTTTATCGAACCATATGGAGAGGACATAGGAAGAGTTGTTGTTGTTTTTGGAAAGGGGTTGGAAGCCGAAGGCGAACTCTTTCGAAGGGGAAAGCCATGGTGGGGAGGTGTCGTTTGCGCAGATAGAGGCTCCAAGGGTTATTTTTCCGGTGGGTTGAGATGAAGTGAGAAGTGGGAGGAGACTGGATGTTATGAAGAGGAGGGTAAGATGAGCGGCCATTGATGCTAACAAGTAGAGAAAATGGAAGTTTGGAGGTAGAAATTAATGGAGGTTTATGATTGTTTCTTGAATTTTAAGGGAGTGAGTGGGACCTTTTTATAGGGCATAGCAATGATATGCTAGATGGAAAAAATTAAAGTAAAAAAAAAAATGTTTTGAGAAAGTTATGAGGTTTTTCCCGCTAGTGCAGACTTGGTGACTTGGTCTAATACCCAGTGTATAGTCAAGGAACTAAAGTGAGACGGTAAATATATTACTAAATTATTTAGAAAAATGCTACATTACCGACTTAGTGTACAACTAGGTTGACAACACAAGTGAAAACATCCACCTAGACATGGCCACGGGCCGAATCGGCCCGTGGCCCGAACCGTGAACCGGTACCGGCGTGCCGGTACCAGCATGAACAGTACACGGGCCGTGAACCGGACCGGGCCCAAAGCGGTCCGATTACGGTTCAATGGTTTTCATTAACCGGTCCCGGCGGGCCGGACCGGGCCGGGACCGGTTCCGGTTTTTCCGACGGGTCGTAGTTCTATTTTTTTTTTTTTAGATGTTTTTACTTATGTTGTCAATCTAGTTGTATACTAGACTAGAAATGTAGCATTACTCAATTATTTATATTTACTTTATTTACAAGTTACAGTTTTATAAATATACCAATTTGTGATGGCCAAACGCATATATTATCTAAAATTTATACAAAATATATCCACAACTATATTATTAATGTTACTGTAATTATCTTTATAGGAAATGCACGAGTTACAAATATTTATAAATAAAATATAGTATTTACACTAATATAATTATCATATATTAGTTAATATATTAGTTAAGAGCGAGATTATTCACTATCATTTCTCTTACATAAAAATCTAACTCCATATCAATTTTCATAAATTTTTTATAAAGTATTTAAGTCCATGAAAAATTTACCTAGCGAAAGCATGTAACTAAAATTTATATACATAAAAATGTGCACCTTACAACGCACTTATTGTTCTATGCTATCCTTGAAAATTTGTATAGAAACACCTAATTTTTAATTTGTGCTAATTTGCAAATGATGTTAGTTTTAATAAAAATCTCAAACAAAACAGTTCGATGCTAATCTTTAATCANCTATTTTTCAAAAAAAAAAAAATTAAAAAAAAAAACGTAATATCTCCCAATCAACATATAACAACACATAAAATTATTTTAAAATTGTGTGATAGAAACAAATATATATGTCTATATGACTATATGACCTATATACAATCCAATACATTTTTATTTCCATGAATTAAAATTGTTTAAACGAGTTATAGTAATTTAAATACTAATAACTATTGTTTTTCGCATCCAATAGACAAATAAGAAATAAAAATATCAAAATGTTGATTGTCAAATAGAAATAAGTAATCTTAAAAAAAAAAGAAAATGTGAAAAATGGGTATGAATATGATTGGTTAATAAAAATAAATAATCTGCAAATAAATAATGGAAGATATGAAGATAAATAAAGAAAGGATAAAATGTTGTAAAAGTATTTTGGTGATATTATCCTTGTTTATAAATTTATTCATCCCCTCGTTATTTTTTTTATTTAGATGATAAATTTTGTTAATGAATTTACACAATTTTTTAGAATTAAAAATTAATATGACGATTGATATGTATTGACTAATTTATTACTAAAATTAGTAAAATGCTATTTTTAATAAATTAATTTTTAATTTTCACATGTTAATTATCTTTTTTATATAGATATAGATTGAATAAATGTCTTAATTAACAAACATCTATATATATATAATAAGAATTAACATTTTTAAAAAATAGTAAGCAAAAAAATAGGGAACATTAATTGCATTCCATTTTTGGTATGTTTTTTTAATTTTTTTAATAAAAAATCAAGTAGCATTTAATGCTAGCATAAATCATGGGATTTGTTATATAGATGCATATTTAAATTTCAAACTTCAAACAAAACATGCCTAAATGTATTTTGAATTTTTTAGAGGAAAAATTTAACACACACGTTGAAAATTTCATACAATACATATATTTATATATATTATCTCAACATATAGGTTAATTAGTTTCATATCTAAACAATATATATTTAAACAATATATAAACAAATATAATAATTTGTCTTACAATACAAAAAAATATATAAACAATATATTTATATACAAATGTAATAACAATACAAACAATATATAAACAAATATAATAACTTGTCACGCGTATATTTCGTACAATACATATATTTATATATATTTTCTTAACATATAAGTTAATTAGTTTCATATTTAAACAATATATATTTTAGAAACTTAAAGATTCATAACATTACTGACGTCATGTATATTTATAATATATTGTCACATACATTTTACTACAATTAGTAACTTTTTTAAAATTATTTGAATAACTGGAGGTTGATTTGTAATTTAAATTTCAAATTCATTCAAACATTTAAAGGAAAGTATCATAAGCAGATTTTTTTGATACATTTCATTTTATCTCAACTTACATATAATCATTTCCGAATTATTTGTTTCTCATAACATCGGACAGAATTACTAATTGCATAGAATTCAATTATGATTTCGAATTTATATCACTGATGTTTAATAATTGCATAGAATTTCAAAGATGTTTATTTATTATAAAAAAAAAAATTCTAAAAAAATATTTGTGTATATTTTGTAAAATGTTTGTACAAAATGTTTTACTTTAAATTTATTTACATAATTTAAATTAATTACATTTATAAATAATATGAACATTTATTAAATATTTTAATTATATAAAACAAAAAGAAGAAGAAGACTACATATTTAACTTGCATAAATAATAATAATGAAATTATATTACAATAAATTTTATAATAAAATAATATAAATATTATACGAAAAACAAGATTACGTAAAATTGTTATTTTTTTTATATCAAGGAATATATATATATATATATATATATATAATGAAATCAAATTTATATTATTATAAACATGTGAGCGAGATAATATATTAATTAATTTACGAGCTTGTGCTACCAGACTCAGGTTTAATGTTTCGACAAAAGAAAAATGACGTTGATGAAAAGATGTAAAAAGATAAATGATCAGACTCTATTATTTTTTAGGCCTAAACGGACAAGCCCTATGGTCCACTCATTCAATATCTCCCGTGAATTGCACGAGCTACTTAACGGATAAACTCTGTGGAAATGACTCATTTAATACTTATGCCCCGTGCATCGCACGGGCTACGTACTAGTTTTACATAAACTATGTTTAGTAAAATTAGCTAATAAGCTTGTTGATAGCTGATAAGTTAGTTTATAGCTTTGGTAGACCAATAAGCTAGCTTATAGTTATTTTATTAGCTTAAAAACTTCTTGTATTTAAATAAGCTTCGTTTGGTATAGCTTATCTCATATGCTTTTTTTAGTAGCTTCGTTTGAAAAGCTACCTAAAGTAGTTTATGAGATAAGCGAGTTTTTTGAAAATGTTGGTCCTACCAAACGAGACTTATTTGAATACATGAAACTTATAAATTAACTAAATAAGTTATAACATAACTTATTTAACTTACCAAACATAGTCTGGTAGTTGGGTATGGGTATATGCGGTTAACAAAAGTAAATAACGTTGTTTAAAACTTTGTAGTTAAAACCAACACTTTTGTATATATGGGATAATTATAACTGAAAAATTACACTTTAAAATTAAAAACTGTGATAGTGTCTTCACGCAAATTTTGGGATAAAAAGATTGATGCAGCTTTCACGAACATTTTTATGAATTTTTTTTCCTACTTTTAGTAAATACTTAACATTTTATATATTCCTAGATAACAATTAAAATATATTTTATGCATAAAAATAAAAATATATTTTATTATAATTTTAAAATAAATTAAAAAATATAAAAAAACTGTTAGATTGCTTTAATGTGACTAACTTTGCAACGCCTGAACTGTCAACACAGCTGTTTGTCCCATTTTTGTTACGATTTTCTTTATTGTTTTGCTTCTCTTTTTCCCCCGTTTTAGGACTTTTAGTTAGTTTTTAGTTTGTTTTGTAGTTTATTATGTGTTTTGCTCTATTCTGGTTTTTATGTGTTTTTCGTGTATTTTGTCGGTTTTCTACGTTTTTCTTCTTGTTTGATGTGTGCAGGTCGAAATCCCCGTGAGGAATGGATTTATCCCGAAATCTGACCCGGCAAGCATGGTTGAGTAGAAGGGTTCGTTAGCTACATATAGGAAGAAGCGGAGCTCAATTTCGAGCTTGGACGAGTCCAAACGGGCCCAAAACGCGAAGTCGCACGAAGCACGACTTTGGTGTGCTGGTCATAAGCTTTGAGAGAATTGGATTTCAAGAATAATTTGGCCATTGAAGCATCATTGTATAGAGGGGTTCGTTAGCGACGCGTAGGAAAAAACGGAACTCAATTCCGAATTCGAACGAGCCAAAACAAGTCCGAAACACAAAGTCGCGCTGCCCAGGCCATAGCGGCGCTAAGCCTGGTTTCCTAGCGGCGTTATGGCATGTTAACGACGCCAGAGGCGAACAACTAAGATCCCTTAGCGCCGCTAACCCCCTTTAGCGGCGCTAAGGCCCACTGCAAGTCCCAAAATGGTATGAAATCCCCAAAAACTCGTTTTATTCTTTATTCTTTCACCACCAGCTCGAAGGGGGAGTAACCCTAGGTCCGAAAATCGCCTCCCCCCTTCATTTTTCTCCTTCTTCTTCCTCTTCTCCTTCCTCTCTTTCCTCCTCTTCTTTTTCTTCATCGTTTTTCCTCTTCTCTTCATCTTTCTTTTCCATTTTTCTTCTTCTTTTTATTAGTATTCAAGGATTAAGCTTGTAATTCAAATTCAACACTTGGAATTGCGATTTATTTTAAGTTCTTCTCTTTATTTTTAATTCATGAATAATGGTTGAATTGAGAGAGATGATGGATTGTGTTGATTGATATTACTTAGCTAATTCTTATTGCT